GGTCAGGCCATGCAAGGCTCCTCCTAAGAAACACATGCCCAGAACAGAACAGACAAATCATCAGGCCTGCAAGTAAAGCGAGCAGGGTCAAATTGAACCAAAAGGGCCCATTAAAGTGATTCCTTATCAAAGTTGGTGTCAGGGCTCTCAGTGGCCTGATACCAGCACTGGAGCAGATGGGCCAGGTCGTGACAGTTTTGAGCACATATCTGACTACTCTGGAATAGATTAAAGGTAAAAGAAAGTGGGATCAAATTGATTACCAAATTTAGAAGGATGTCACACTCTGTTACATGTGCCCCGGATAGTATCTACAGTCAACTGGTGGGGTTTGAAGCATAATTGTAATAGCTCGCTGGTACTGTAGTATTATATTCAATTCGAATGGGTTGTGACCTGTGACTCAATATTCAAAGTTGTAGCTTCGAAAATTTCCTTTTTAGAAAGTGATTGGGCACCAGAAAAAGTGACAAATTACCATACTCAGACGGGTTGGGACCACAAAAAGTAGTTGTGACCTGTGACATTTTTGAAGTTGCTCGAATATTCAGAGGGCTGTGACCTATAACATTCAAATTGAATATAATGCTACAGTATAAATGCACTCAAGATTATATTTTTGTTTTGTTCATAAACCCTAAATTTTGTTGCTAATGTCATCAATTGATTGATTTGTAAGGGTACCAGGTTCTTACGCTCTATACCCACTTTTTATTCAAGTTATCAAGCACCTTGTAATAAAATTTATAGTTGTGGCCACTTGATGTTTGGACAAACTCAAACCAGATTGTATCAGTATCAGACATCAGAAATTGATTATTTTGGTTTGATAACATTTTTACTCATGTTTTATTGGAAGTATCATCAAATCTGAATCATCACTGATTGTGACAAGCCAAATACTATGATAAAAGTTTTATTTGATTTTTACCCACTTTTAAGTGGGGATGAGTTCAGTTTCTTAACTAGTTTTGGGCTAATATAATGCCAAATGGTCTGGATCCTACAATTATATATTTTTTGTCTAATTTTCATTAATACCACCATCAGATTCGCAATTAAAATCAATATATCCCAGATTGTAATAAGTCTAACCGCCATGATTTTTGCAAAGAAATTTTTTCCCCACTTTTTATTGGGCCTAAGTCCAGTTCTAGCCTGGCTCTCAACTGGTTTTTGGAACTTTTGCTCAGATCTATACTCACTTTCAATTTAAATTTTGGACTCAGCTCAAATTTAACCAATCCTTTTGATTCATACATTTTATTTTATTTTGACCCACTTTTCATTGGGCTTATTCCTGGCTAAGTCTAGTTTTGGGCAGCAAACATTATTATTTCATTTTTACCTACTTTTTGTTGGGACCAAGACCCACTGCAACAAAACTTACTATTCTGGGAAGTCAGTCAGGTCTAGAAATTACCATTTTGGGAATGTCTGTTTCAGAAGCTGGATGGTATCACATGACAAACTCACATTTCCTCCTAAAAAAAGTTTTCAATACAAGTTACAGACTGTCAGGGGATGAGGGTCCAGGTGCCTAGTTGATACCAAAGCCGGGGGAACAGCCCCACGGCCAACTACTTAAGTACAGGGCTATTTGCGCACGGACCAGTCACGTGATCAGTCACAGCTGTCACATCACATGCTCCCCTTACACCAACCCCTCCTCAAGATCCGTCGCCTCGACGGATAGGCGGAGTGTAGGGTTCTGCGAACTCGTATTCGGGGTCGCCAGGGAAATAGAGGTTGTCGCCTATAACACGCGATGATTGCGCAGGTACGCCCCCTCGTTGGGCCGTCTGTCGATTGCGCTGCCGACCGTGCGCTACCGCGTCAATCTGCATGGGAGTGGAAGCCACACTGGTATCCATCCGCATGGGAGAGGCGCCTTGGGTATGCGAGACTCGGGTAAACGTCGACGGAGTTCCCATAGCCACCGAGGGTGCGAAGGGAGTAGGGTTAGGCTGGGGAGTAGGGAGAGTGGAAGCCGCGGCCCGTATAGGTTGGGTAGTGGCGGCGGCGGGCTGACGGGGTAGGGTAGACGGGGAGAGGGGAGAAGACAGTCGCGAATGCCCAGCTGGCCCGCCGGCGGCAGTCGAAGCCCCTCGGATGAGCGGCAGGACGTGCGGCAGTGGGGGCGGGGCACCTGAGACTGGCCACGGGGCACAGTGGACGAGTGGTGTGGAGCACGGTCGACATCCATCTTAGTGGCGTGGGACGCAGGCACAGGCGCGACAGGAGGAGGGGGAGCAGGTCCCTCAGCAGACGGTGGCTGACGTTGCTTCTTCGCACGGACACTTACGCATGAACCGTTTCCCAAGCGCAATAAGTGCGTCACCGATTTGCTGGTCGGTTCCCCGGATAGAGACCCGGGCTCGCCAGGCGCAGCGCGATCAGAGTACGCGCGCAACTGAGCACCGGAAGTGTCATGAGCTTGGTGGAGACCCTTGCCACCACGACCCACGATATGCCCGACAGCCAAGTCAGGCACCACAAGCGTACAAGAGAAGCGGGCGTGACAGTGTCAGGCGCAGTAGGGGGAAGGTTTCGGCAAGTGGTATGGAAGTGTGGGCCGCAGCGATGACGGCAGGGGGTAGGGGCCGGGATTGTTGGAAGAACCCAGCGACTGCCATCCCAGACACCGTGGAATGTAGGACCAGGGAAGGGGAGCAGGGGGTGGAGCAGGCGTACCATACTCAAGACGGTCGAGACGGTCGGTGAGGCGAGTAATTTCGCTCTGCAGGAGCAGGCAGTACGAATACAGGTCGACAGGGACGCCGGGAGTCGTCATTGGAGGAGAGAAGGCAAGCACAGTAGGGTGAGGACGAATATAGGAGATAGAGAGGATCAACTGGGGCTAGAAGAGTGCCAGAGTCGATGTAGAGGCTTTGGTATGCTGTCAGGGGATGAGGGTCCAGGTGCCTAGTTGATACCAAAGCCGGGGGAACAGCCCCACGGCCAACTACTTAAGTACAGGGCTATCTGCGCACGGACCAGTCACGTGATCAGTCACAGCTGTCACATCACATGCTCCCCTTACACAGACCCAAGATCTGTTGAAGTTTTGATGGTCACAACTTGCCGCACACTTGACTCGGAAATTTTCACGTGCACAGAAATCGGGGCCCATGATTTATGTAAGAATTGGCGGCAGTTGTTTGGGCCTGGATCTGCCCGCAAATAAGTCCAGCTTTGGGCCACTTTTTTTTACTGAAACTCTGCTGACTTACTTTACAACTAGTATATAAACTCAATATGTAGGGCATGATTTGGCTCAATGCACAGATCCCTCACAGGAGTGTGATTGCAAACAGATTCCGCTCACATTGATCCCATCACCGTCCGGATCAATCAGAATTCAACGAGATCTATTTGACAAAGGCAATAAAAATTAGAAGTTTTCAAATCCAAGATACATAGGCAGCTGATTTATGCAAATCAGGGCAATGTTGTTGAAATTGCTATTTCAGGCAGCGACAGTTCAACAGCAAAGTTGATTCCTAGCAACAATTGATTTCTACAGAATAATATATGCTCAGTCCAGGAGTTGAACGCAAGACGAAGATGGAACCATAACATAAGGCTCATGTCGCATGTCAGTGGAGATGTACGTCCATATTAGGACATGCGTCTGCACCCGCGTCCGATGCGGTGATCTCCGCTGATCCCCGTGGTGACCCGCCCGGCCCCTGCCACGACTGAGTCTTGGATGGAAGCTGGTCGTTATTGTAGCACCATGCAACGCCGATATGCTCAATGGCATGTCCCCCCATCGTGATGCAGCCCATGCTCACTGACCAGAACATCGGCTACTCACGAGTCACTACTTGCGGGTGATGCTGTCGCTGTCGCATGTGCGCTCATGTGCGTTCTTAGGTATCTTGAAACTCTTTGTTAGTCTACATGCAATGAGGAGTGGCCACAACTGTTGTTTTTCTGCAGAATGTTAGGTCTGTAGATGCTATGGAAGGCAGACAGAATCAGTGTACATGTACTTATAGAAATTTAATTCTCAGTTATTATAAGTAAGAATAGGCAGCAAATGATTCCATAAAGCTTTATTCTTCATATTACAACTAGCTCTCAGAAATTTAGCCTATGTTGTGAGCTCGTTGCCCAGTGGCGGGGCTTCGGGGCGGGGATGTGTGACATGACATTTGTCAGGTCCGCCGCCAGTCCACCGAGCCGATGGTCCATTTTCGGTCTATTTCCGACCCGACCCGACCGAAATTGATGGGCCATCAGGCCCAGACGCCAACTTGAAAAACGATTGGCTGCAACGCATGTCCTTATGAGGAGTTTCCTCCGAAAGGACATGCGTTGTGGCTGCGTCATGGCCATCACCGCCCGTCCCGTTTTGGACACCCGTAACTGAGCAAGATCGTGTTCAAGCACGCGCTGTCAACCCAATAGCGGCCCCAAACTTGATTGAATGGCAGTAGGTGAGTACATGAATCATCCTATAATCTCTCCTCTTTTTCCCTCTTTTTTTCTTAATTTTTTTTGCTCCGTCTCCACAGACATATGACATGGGCCTAACATAATATTTGCAAAAACTCAAGGTCCGATCAAACATAGGTGACGCCCAGTGGTCACACGTAACCTCTCTTTTCTCTTTCCACCCATGTCGTCGTTATGCTGGTGGTGGTGAGTGTCTTGCTCTGTGCTGTAGCAGTTGTCTGATCAGAGTACAGACTGCTTGCCAACCCCCACTGTCACGTCGCCTCATCCCCACCCCCCCACTTTTTTTTTTGTTGTCATCGCTCCACTGCCCTCGGGAGGGGAAACCCTGGCTCAAGGTTGAAGAAAGTGCAGAATGGGACTGGGAAGCCAGAGCACGCGTTTGCTAGGCTTAATTGACGCGATTTTGGGTACATCTCAATTTTTCTCCAGCCAAAACATGAGTTTTTTGCATAAAATCGCGCAAGTCCAAATTAAAAGCAGTGGCACGTGACCGCGTGGACTTGGGCATGTGAGTGGAGCGGACGCGTTCGGCAATGGAGCCGGACGCGTGCGCAGGAGCCGAATACGGCATCCGTGCCATCCACCACAGAGCGCATCGCCGCCCTGAAAGCAGAGAACGCCGCCGACAGCAATGTTTCTACTCCCCCTCGATCGGTGACGACGGCGATAACACTTATGCATATGCACAATTCAAGGTTTGTTGCCAAACTTATGTAATACCCTCCACCTAGCCGTCTTTTCCTGATATCTCCTGGCCTCCCCTCACAGAAGTCGCCGTCAGCGATCGCGGGCTGCTAGCTGATCCAGCAAAGAAAAGCCTGTTGAGTGCCGCGAGCAAAGTCCGGCATCTCACGCCCGCCATTGGAACAGAGCTTCTTGGGATTGACCTCAGACAGCTTACGGATGCGCAGAAAGACGAGCTGTATGTCTTTCCATTGCCTCCCGCGGTTGTTTTGAACTCACACGATGCTAGAGCGTTGCTGGTAGCCGAACGCGGTGTTGTTTGTGCGCCAGTCTTCGGCCCCTGAAGCATTTCTGACATGGAAACCCAGTTTTCCGCGATCAAGAAATTGATGTTTATGGTCAACTGGATATCGCACGCCATTTTGGCCCATTGCACAAGCACGCCACGACACCAATTCCGCGAAATGGCCTCGAAGAAGTTCACGGTAGGAAATAGCTGATTCGCGGCTTCATTATTTGACCTTCTTTTAGTCGTATATAACGACTCTTCACGTCGACCTGACCCAGCATCGTTCTCGAAGCTCGAGCTTTGGCATACTGATGTATTTCGCGTCATATCTTCTGAGGTCATCCTTTTAACGTGATTCAAAGGTGTCCTACGAAATTCAGCCTCCTAGCACGACTTCTCTCAAAGTCATCACCGGACCAGAGTACGGCGGGGACACACTCTGGAGCTCTGGGTACAACCACTGTTCTCCATAGCCGACACAGCTAATTAACAATCTACTGATAGTTACGCGCTCTATTCTTCCTTCAGCCCCGGATTCCAAACGTACCTCGAGGGACTGACCGCCTTGCACAGCGCCGTTGCCCAGGCCGACGGGTCACGTGCTGCCGGCCTCCCCGTCCGGCGCGAGCCTATCGAGACCATCCACCCCGTCGTCCGTGTCCATCCCGTGACCGGCTGGAAGAGCATCTACGTCAACCCTGGTAGGCCTTGTATCCAAATCTAGTTGTCTTCAGGTTACCCACGCAAACAGGCTTCACCCGCCGCATCATCGGCCTCCCCAAGGCCGAATCGGACGCCATCCTCCAGCTGCTCTTCCACCAGATCGCCCAGAACCCCGACTTCCAGGTCCGCTTCAAGTGGGAGCACAACGACATCGCGTTCTGGGTCAGTTGTTTTTATCTGACCATGGTCATGACACTGATTCTTTCTGCAGGATAATCGCGTCGTCACCCACTCCGCGACATTCGACTTTTTCCCCGAAACGCGCCACGCCTTGCGTGCGACACCGCATGGCGAGAAACCGCTTTCCGTCGCCGCGTATGAGAAGCAGACGGGCAAGGTTGCGAAGGACCGGCAGATCGAGATCTGGCGCCAGAAGGGGATTGAGCTGCCTGGGGGTGGCGATGAGAAGCCTAAAGTCGCGAGGTACAACGATTAGATCGTGTTACGCTGCGCGGCGCGTTTTGTCCGAATCAGCTCCATATCGCAGTCATTTTCTCATTGCCGTTGGTCCCTTCTTTGCCGTCGTCCATCTCGTCGATCTCTTCTCGTCCACCTCCATTGGTACAGGTATTGGTGTCGGTGGCCGTCGTTGAAGCGGCGGTTGCGGTGTTGCTTGAGGGTGGACATGCACACGCGAAGACTGACCAAGCTCGCCGCATCGAGCGCGGACAAGCTCGGCGTAACGCGCAAGCCATGGCGTGGAGTCGGAAAAATATGCTGACTGAATAATTCATGAGAGCTTGAAGGTTAGAGGAGGAACACGGCACGTACGAGTTGTTGGTGAAGCGTTGGTGAAGTTGACAACAAGTCCCCGGCCCCACGTGATAGCCGACAACCTTGTCCTCCGACGGCCATCTCGGGGCGAAGTACATCTAATCGAACAGCTACTACTCAGCATTATTGAAGCAACACAAACGTCACTTACTGGTACATTGCAGCAACGACGGACAGCCGTTCTACTGAATCAAGTCCGGCAGCGCCGGCCTTTCTGCATCGCCAAACGGGTCTGTAGTAGCCGCAACTCGGAAATCTAAGCACCACAACCTCCTGCCGACTTCTGCCGCTCAAATCGTCAACGCTGCTTATCTACAGCGTCCTCTTACGCCGGAAACCGCGCGCTAACAACGACGTCAACGCCCAGAAGGCGAAAACTCGGCGCGCAGACCAACTACCCACCAAACGGCCGTCTTGCCGCCGATTCCTGCCGCCCTCACTGCCCAATTCACACCTGAACGACTTCATTAACGAGAAATGGGGCGGGAGAGCACCGGACGCCTACCCCAGCAACGAGCGCTTGCCCGCTCTCGGCTCTTTTCACGCCAGCAGCAGCATCGATGCAAAGCTGCTCGTCTTCTATTCGCGCGCCAGAAACCGCCCGCGAACGACGACTAGAAGGCGAAAATTCGACGCGCAGACCTCGTCTTGCCAAGTACCCGCCAAACGGCGAGCTTGGCGCCGATTCCTGCCGCCCTCGAGCGCTTGCCCGCTCCCGGCCCTTCGCTGCTCGTCTACTTCTCAGAAACCGCCCGCGGACGACCACGTCAACGAGCAAAGTCGAAATATGGGCGACTAACCGCCAAATGGCCGTTTTGACACCGGTTCCTGCCGCCCAAGTCGCTCTAGAACGACTTTATCAGCAAGCACCGCGGGCGGGACGGTAATAGTCTACCCAGCAAGCCGCTCCCGCTTCCTCCTTGCTGTTCGCGCCAGAAGCCCCGACTCGAATCAAGAAACAACGAGGCCGTTGGGCAAGGCAGCGCCCAGGCCACCAATATGCAACTTTGGGGCGACAATCTCGCACTCAGAGCAGCAAGCGCGGCCTTGCGAACGCTAGGCTGTACAGCTATAAGCCCAATACTCATGCCTGGAACCAAATCCGCCCTCGTTGTCCAACGCGCTACAAAAGCGCTCATCAGCGGCAGGCACTTCACGGTCAAGAGGAAAGACCGAACCGCCAACATCGAGCGGGGCCATGTGCCAACTGCGCGAAGGTGAGTTGTTTGGCATTGTCTTTGCCGTCCTTTGCGCCAACGGGCATTCTGCTTAGAGCTTGTCGTTGTTACTGCCAAAGAAGACGCGAGCTGCAGTTGCAACATTGGCCGTGACAATTCTGGTCGCTGGGACGGCTTCATGGTCGTCGAGTCACGATCTGCTCAACTGTGAGTGTGTTCAAAGTTGTATCGCTCGAGGCTCACCGTTGTTGCAGATATCGTTGCCTTGATATCCAAGGGCGGTGAAGCTCTTGGTCGGTAAGTTAACACCTGCCAAAAAAAGACAAGCCCACAAGATGGCGGGACAACACGTGCGGTCGTCGTTGAAGACGTGTCCCCTAGGGTGTCGTCAACCCCACCCTGCGCAACACTCCCAACGACACTCCCCAATGACCAGTTGTTCGGGACAGAACCAGCAAAGGTTCGCGGCCGTTGCCTGTTGCGATCGGTAAGGGATATTTGAAGTACAAATATCGATACTCACCGTTTGCAGACGTTGAACTCCCTGCTTCCGCGGCCGTTTACAGTGACCACAGTGGTTGAACGACGGGCACCGCAACTGCAACGTGGTAAGTCAAGGCTTGCAGGAAAATTGAAACGACCAACTCACAGGATCCCAGACGTCAGGCTTCGGGCAATGTTGAAGACGAAGGCCCTCGCTATAGTTGGTGCCCAACTCAAGGCGCAGTCGACGCTATCGACCGCGTAAAACATGAGGATGGGCAACGGGGAAGCCGGTGAAGCCGGCGGATGTCGTATGTAGTTCGCGGTCACCTGGGATAGTGTAAGCACAGTGAATTCATCAGTTATGATGAGACCATACCTGTGCAGCGCAACAGCAGCGAGCTCGACATTGGTCGCAACGGCGAGGTCGAAATGGTGCAGTCGCGGATGCGGATGAGAAGGGAAAGTGAGGGAGAGATGAAAAGAGGGAGAAGGGGGAATGATGGGAATGGCAGATTGGGGCTGGATTTTATACCCAGAGCGCCACCCAAGCGAGCTACGCGATGAGTGGGAAAGTTCTCACCGGAAGGACGGATCACGCAGGGCTGGACCGGGCGGATTCGCCACTATCGGAATATGTCATAAATGCTCGGAAATGGACTTTCCGAGCATAGTGTGCTTTCCTAGCAGAATATGGAGGCAGGGCAGCATTCGGACTTATAGAGAGGTTGATTAGAGACGTTTCCGTGACTTACAGTGGTAGATAGCACACTGAAATGCACAATAAATGGAAAATATCATTGGGGGCCAAAACAGAAAATATGAACCATTCGTAAAGCGGAGCGCCCATATTCTAGGCGAGTGACAGATAGAATCATTATAGCGTGATATACAGCGTGTTTCAGGCCGTAAATCCCTGAGCATCCCGCTGAGCAGGTAGGAAGCACGGAAAATCCATCTTGGATATACGCCGAGTATCCCGGCATTGAGGGAAATGTGAGGAGAGGAACCCGCTGAGGACATTTCCCACGTGATATGGAAGAGTTTCCAAGGAAATCGGCCGATCCCAGCCTTGGAATCCCAGGAAGTAGCAAAATGACGCACCTGGGCAAGATCATATATTCAGGAGCCCCCTTCGCCTCGGATAACAGCACGGACCAGCAGATGGCTTACGTATACATGCTATGCTAAAATTTGAGCCCAATCGGAGCATTTCTAGGTATAGAACAGTGGTGAAATGGCAAATTTCCATTTTTGGTCGCAGGCGTTAGCACGCGATGGGTCACGTGACCAGCCCTCGGAGCCCATCTTCTCGCACAAAACCTGCTCTGACACTGGGGATAAAGCTTCTATGCCATCATGACAGTGTAAGCCTACTTTCTATAGCACTTATGGCCCCAAATCTAGTAGGGTATTTGCCACTGCCTGCTCCCGGGTATGCAACTTTATGCCACATTTCTAAGGTGCATCAGTCGGGAATCATGATGGCCAGCATCAAGGAAGTCACATGACCGTATCTGTCGGACTTTAAATTCCTTTTGTTTGACTTTGTCTTCACTTTTATACTACTATACTTTAGTATGTTACTCAGTTTGAATGTCATACTTTGCTTCAATTTGTCTGTCACATGTCATACAGCTGATTTTATACAATATATATCATAGTAAAAAGTGAATTTTGGCTTTCCAAAATAGTAATTACCAAATGGGGAACATCATATGAATGTTTTTAGGCATCAATATGGCATGGCCCTGAGGACCATTCAAATTGAATAAATAGTAATGTGTGCTAATTTTAGATTGAGGTAAAGAGTATGAGAACCCTGCATGTTTAGTCAGCTAATAGGATCAGCACTATTGGCACCCAAAAGTACTGAAAACATGCGGAAATGAGAGATATCATGCTTGATTAAAGTTACTTTCACAAGATCTACATTTTAGATTTCTTAACCCCAGAGATTTTCTCACTCTAACATGTATGATCTCAGTCAAAGTGTGACATCAATGTATTATATTCAATTCGAATGGGTTGTGACCTGTGACTCAATATTCAAAGTTGTAGCTTCGAAAATTTCCTTTTTAGAAAGTGATTGGGCACCAGAAAAAGTGACAAATTACCATACTCAGACGGGTTGGGACCACAAAAAGTAGTTGTGACCTGTGACATTTTTGAAGTTGCTCGAATATTCAGAGGGCTGTGACCTATAACATTCAAATTGAATATAATGCTACAGTATAAATGCACTCAAGATTATATTTTTTTTTGTTCATAAACCCCAAATTTTGTTGCTAATGTCATCAATTGATTGATTTGTAAGGGTACCAGGTTCTTACGCTCTATACCCACTTTTTATTCAAGTTATCAAGCACCTTGTAATAAAATTTATAGTTGTGGCCACTTGATGTTTGGACAAACTCAAACCAGATTGTATCAGTATCAGACATCAGAAATTGATTATTTTGGTTTGATAACATTTTTACTCACGTTTTATTGGAAGTATCATCAAATCTGAATCATCACTGATTGTGACAAGCCAAATACTATGATAAAAGTTTTATTTGATTTTTACCCACTTTTAAGTGGGGATGAGTTCAGTTTCTTAACTAGTTTTGGGCTAATATAATGCCAAATGGTCTGGATCCTACAATTATATATTTTTTGTCTAATTTTCATTAATACCACCATCAGATTCGCAATTAAAATCAATATATCCCAGATTGTAATAAGTCTAACCACCATGATTTTTGCAAAGAAATTTTTTCCCCACTTTTTATTGGGCCTAAGTCCAGTTCTAGCCTGGCTCTCAACTGGTTTTTGGAACTTTTGCTCAGATCTATACTCACTTTCAATTTAAATTTTGGACTCAGCTCAAATTTAACCAATCCTTTTGATTCATACATTTTATTTTATTTTGACCCACTTTTCATTGGGCTTATTCCTGGCTAAGTCTAGTTTTGGGCAGCAAACATTATTATTTCATTTTTACCTACTTTTTTGTTGGGACCAAGACCCACTGCAACAAAACTTACTATTCTGGGAAGTCAGTCAGGTCTAGAAATTACCATTTTGGGAATGTCTGTTTCAGAAGCTGGATGGTATCACATGACAAACTCACATTTCCTCCCAAAAGAAGTTTTCAATACAAGTTACAGACCCAAGATCTGTTGAAGTTTTGATGGTCACAACTTGCCGCACACTTGACTCGGAAATTTCCACATGCACAGAAATCGGGGCCCATGATTTATGTAAGAATTGGCGGCAGTTATTTGGGCCTAGATCTGCCACAAATAAGTCCAGCTTTGGGCCACTTTTTTTTTTACTGAAACTCTGCTAACTTACTTTACAACTAGTATATAAACTCAATATGTAGGGCATGATTTGGCTTAATGCACAGATCCTGTGATTGCAAACAGATTCCGCTCACATTGATCCCATCACCATCCAGATCAATCAGAATTCAACGAGATCTATTTGACAAAGGCAATAAAAATTAGAAGTTTTCAAACCCAAGATACATAGGCAGCTGATTTATGCAAATCAGGGCAATGTTGTTGAAATTGCTATTTCAGGCAGCGACAGTTCAAGTCCTAGGCTGGCAAAGTTGATTCCTAGCAACAATTGATTTCTACAGAATAATATATGCTCAGTCCAGGAGTTGAACCCAAGACGAAGATTTATATATGCTCAGTCCAGGAGTTGAACGCGAGACGAAGATGGAACCATAACATAATATTTGCAAAAACTCAAGGTCCGATCAAACATAGGTGACGCCCAGTGGTCACACGTAACCTCTCTTTTCTCTTTCCCCCCATGTCGTCGTTATGCTGGTGGTGGTGAGTGTCTTGCTCTGTGCTGTAGCGGTTGTCTGATCAGAGTACAGACTGCTTGCCAACCCCCACTGTCACGTCGCCTCATCCCCACCCCTCCACTTTTTTTTTTGTTGTCATCGCTCCACTGCCCTCGGGAGGGGAAACCCTGGCTTAAGGTTGAAGAAAGTGCAGAATGGGACTGGGAAGCCAGAGCACGCGTTTGCTAGGCTTAATTGACGTGATTTTGGGTACATCTCAATTTTTCTCCAGCCAAAACATGAGTTTTTTGCATAAAATCGCGCAAGTCCAAATTAAAAGCAGTGGCACGTGACCGCGTGGACTTGGGCATGTGAGTGGAGCGGACGCGCGTTCGGCAATGGAGCCGGACGCGTGCGCAGGAGCCGAATACGGCATCCGTGCCATCCACCACAGAGCGCATCGCCGCCCTGAAAGCAGAGAACGCCGCCGACAGCAATGTTTCTACTCCCCCTCGATCGGTGACGACGGCGATAACACTTATGCATATGCACAATTCAAGGTTTGTTGCCAAACTTATGTAATACCCTCCACCTAGCCGTCTTTTCCTGATATCTCCTGGCCTCCCCTCACAGAAGTCGCCGTCAGCGATCGCGGGCTGCTAGCTGATCCAGCAAAGAAAAGCCTGTTGAGTGCCGCGAGCAAAGTCCGGCATCTCACGCCCGCCATTGGAACAGAGCTTCTTGGGATTGACCTCAGACAGCTTACGGATGCGCAGAAAGACGAGCTGTATGTCTTTCCATTGCCTCCCGCGGTTGTTTTGAACTCACACGATGCTAGAGCGTTGCTGGTAGCTGAACGCGGTGTTGTTTGTGCGCCAGTCCTCGGCCCCTGAAGCATTTCTGACATGGAAACCCAGTTTTCCGCGATCAAGAAATTGATGTTTATGGTCAACTGGATATCGCACGCCATTTTGGCCCATTGCACAAGCACGCAACGACACCAATTCCGCGAAATGGCCTCGAAGAAGTTCACGGTAGGCAACAGCTGATTCGCGGTTCGATTAATTGAGCGTCTTATAGTCGTATATAACGACTCTTCACGTCGACCTGACCCAGCATCATTTTCGAAGCTCGAGCTTTGGCATACTGATGTATTTCGCGTCATATCTTTTGAGGTCATCTTTTTAACGTGATTTCAAGGTGTCCTACGAAATTCAGCCTCCCAGCACGACTTCTCTCAAAGTAATCACCGGACCAGAGTACGGCGGGGACACACTCTGGAGCTCTGGGTACAACCACTGTTCTCCATAGCCGACACAGCTAATTAACAATCTACTGATAGTTACGCGCTCTATTCTTCCTTCAGCCCCGGATTCCAAAAGTACCTCGAGGGACTGACCGCCTTGCACAGCGCCGTTGCCCAAGCCGACGGGTCACGTGCTGCCGGCCTCCCCGTCCGCCGCGAGCCTATCGAGACCATCCACCCCGTCGTCCGTGTCCATCCCGTGACCGGCTGGAAGAGCATCTACGTCAACCCTGGTAGGCCTTGTATCCAAATCTAGTTGTCTTCAGGTTACCCACGCAAACAGGCTTCACCCGCCGCATCATCGGCCTCCCCAAGGCCGAATCGGACGCCATCCTACAGCTGCTCTTCCACCAGATCGCCCAGAACCCCGACTTCCAGGTCCGCTTCAAGTGGGAGCACAACGACATCGCGTTCTGGGTCAGTTGTTTTTATCTGACCATGGTCATGACACTGATTCTTTCTGCAGGATAATCGCGTCGTCACCCACTCCGCGACATTCGACTTTTTCCCCGAAACGCGCCACGCCTTGCGCGCGACACCGCATGGGGAGAAACCGCTTTCCGTCGCCGCGTATGAGAAGCAGACGGGCAAGGTTGCGAAGGACCGGCAGATCGAGATCTGGCGCCAGAAGGGGATTGAGCTGCCTGGGGGTGGCGATGAGAAGCCTAAAGTCGCGAGGTACAACGATTAGATCGTGTTATCTTGATTGACAGATGTCATTCGATTAGCCGAGTAAGATCTCGACGAGGAATTCGCTTACATAATTATATGCTGCACACATATCAGCTACAGTACAGACCTCCTCCTTGTGCGTGATTACGTGTACTACCTATTGATAACGCGTACAACAGAGAACAACAACAGAGAGAGAGAGAGAGATTCAGAGAGAGAAAGGAATGCAGGATCTAACCAGAATGCAAAGACGGAAACAAAAATAAAGAGTGGCGTATGATGATTGAGGGGTGGATGTACACGTGCGGGAGAAAATAAATCCCAGGCCAGAACAAAGAAGAAAAGCAGAAAGCTTGAAGCAGAGCAATATGACAGCAACCGAATAGAGAGAGAGAGAGAGAAAATCATCTCGTGGGAGGCGACACAAGTTCGACTTGTGCCGGATTCGCGCTTGTCGTTGAAGTCCTGACAAACGACTGGTGTTGGACCGACAGTTGTTCAGGGGCATACGTCCTCTGGGCCCCTTTACTAGGCGGCACACTCGCCCACGTGTGCACCGCAGACGACTGTTTCTGTTGCGCCGACCCTCTCGCAATGATATCCGAAGGTGACAAATTCGTCGAAAGTTGCAGCTGGAAAGTGCTTTCGTGATGCGACTGCGGGGCGGGCGGTGGGGGAATGAATGTTTGCGGGGTCGGCGCTGGCTTTGGTGGTGGATGTTTCACTTCATCGTCATCGTCATCCTCCATATCGACATCTTCCCCAGGTTCGCTCGGTTTGGTCGAAGTAGGCACAACAACCGCGGCAATCTTCTTCGCCAGCGAAGCAGCCGCCTTTTCGCCCTGATCGGCCCTTGCAGACGCCCGCAGTGTCTCCATGTCGATCTTGACTGGTGTCCCATTGCCATTGGCGGCCGCCTCTTTCTCTCGTTTGCGTACCAGTTTCGCATAATCTACATACCCCCAATTCGCTCAATCCAAAGAGAAACAAAATAATCACTCACGCAAACCGCACGCATTGCACAAAGTCCGAGCTCCGTCCGGTCCTCTCCGCCATTCAGGTGTCTCCCGGATACTGCATGAATGGCATTGTCCAGGAGGGAGTTGCGCGCTGCTAATAAATTCAACAACCTCCACCAAAACCCCACACCCAAGACGACAGCAGTACTCACACTTCGTTTCCGATACTTTGCCTTCTGCAGCGCGCCGTTAACCCCCGCTGCTGAAGTTGCAGCGCGTTTTGTTCGAATCAGCTCCATATCTTGCTCCGCAGTCGTTTTCCCGTTGCCGTTTGCCACAACCGGGGGCGGTGTAGGATACGGACCCCCTTCTTCGCTGTCGTCCAACTCGTCGATCTCCTCACCGCCATCCATTTCCATGACCTCCCAAGGCCGTTTCGGAGCGCGACTGCTTGACTCTGCTGATGCCGGAATCGACACAGAAGCACTGTGGTCCACCTCCATTGGCACAGGTTTTGGTGTCGGTGGCCGTCGTTGCAGGGGCGGTTGTGGCGTCGCTTGCGGTTGCGGCTGATGATGGTGTAGTAGTTGTTGCGGAACAACCTTGCCGCTGATCTGCTGGTTTTGACTCTCCTTCGCCTTCGCCGCCAGATGGTCCATCCGCTTTAGCTCGCCCAACAGCCTAACGACCTCATTTGCCCGATGCGCCATCTCTTCCATCTCCGTCTGATCCACCTGGACTTGTTGTAACGTTTGCTGCATTTGCGCGTAACGACTTGCAAAAGCGTATAGCATCCTACAGTGTTCGAGTATCTACACGATCGTTAGACCTCCCTCGAATGCGTGCAAATATCAACAAACCTCGTTCATGACATCACTTTGGGGCGTAGTATACCCGCTGTGGACCGGGACAGCAACTTCAGTTCTGGGTTGATACGATGATGTCGGCGCGTCGCTCCGATAGCTCGACGATGGTTGTTGGTCGTTACTCGTAGCCTATTGGGGCTGATGAGAAGTTGGCAGAATTAGAAGAACTAATACTTACCCCGTTCCTCGTAGTATACCCGCTCTGTTCGTTTCTCGATCCCGTTGTACTTGGCGAGTAACTCGTCTGATGCGCAGTATAGCCCTGTTGATATCCATTTCCACCTGAGGATTCTGGTTGAATGGCCTGGATCTGCTGTTGCGGTGGTAATTGACTCTGCGAAAGCGACGATTGGTGTTGATGCTGGGTATAATGTTGTTGTTGAACAGGAGCAGGATGAGCTTGCTCCAGTTGTTGCGGCTGGGGTTGGGAGTGTGTTTGCGGCTGTGGGTGTTGATAAGACTGGGCCGGTTGTGGCTGCGGATCAGGCGGTCTTTGCTGCAGAGAAGACGACCTCTGAGCAGGGGCGGGAGGTGGTTGTGGCCTTGGCTGAGTCTTCTGTGTCTGTTGCGGAGTTATCCCCACACCCGCACCGCCATAAATGCTGCTTGAGCTGTTATGATGTCCATGACTTGGTTCTCGTCGCGCATCGTGAGGAGAAGGCTGAGGCCGTGGGGGCGCATGTTGAGACTGGGACTGCTGGGGGTGCCGATCGAGACTCATTGGCATAAGTGCGGTGGTCCGAGTCATATATTGTGCTGGGGTTCCTGACCCTGTTGGTGTCGGGGGTTGGGGTTGCGGATGATGGCCATGCGCAACATGATTATGAGAGGGATTAACATGCCCACCAGAAGATGTCGATGTGGAGGAAGGAGGATTTCGGAGTAGTTGGTGGGGATGAGCATGTTGTGGCGGGGGCTGGTTTGCCTGGGCTAAGGAGTGGGAATGGGAGTGGGAGTGGGACGGTTGTTGGGGCTGAGCAGGTGTTTGTATTGGTACAGGTCGCGTCGGCTGCTGTGATCGCTGCTGCTGTATTTGTGACGACGCATGCGATAAGGTCAATGAAGGATGGGTTTGAGAAGACGGTGGATGGGCCAGCATTTGGTGTTGCTGTTGCTGGGGTTGTGGCTGGACGGGTGACTGGGAAGATGATGACGACGAAGTATGTTGCGTCTGAGACGGATGAATAGTCTGCATTTGGGGAGGTTGGGCACGACTTGGTGGCGGTGGTTGGCGAGAATGTTGCCTAACGATATGTTGTGGTGTTGTAGTCGCGATCTGCTCGTGTTGCTGTTGGGCAGAAACTACCGAAGACGGTGAGGAGGAGGAGGGATAATGCGGTTGAGAAAAATGGTGTCCATTCGATTGGGCATAACGCGGAATCTGAGCGTGTGTTGCCTGCTGCTGCTGCTGTTGCTGCTGCTGAAATTGGTGCCTGTTATGGTCCCAGGCAGGCTGTTCTGAAGTGGGTGGACCGGACCCAGGCGAGGGATAAGGGTTATGGGTCGTTGGCTGTGGTTGGGTCTGTGTCTGTTGTGGCTGAACATACTGCTGTTGTTGCTGAGTCTGGTAGCCAGCAAACTGGCCCTGGTATGTCGCTGGATATGATTGGTATGGCGCATAAGCCGTCGGTGAAGCCTGGCACGTTGTCGGTCAAAGACGGAGAATAATAAATTAAAAACATAATTTTACGCACCTGTTGTTGGCTCTGTGTCTGGCCTGGCTGCTTCGACGACGACGGCATAGTCCTAGCCCTCTTTGCTTCCCTCCTCGGTATTGGCTGTTGGGTTTGTTGTACCGCCATTGTTGAAGACTGCCCTCCCGTTGCAGTATATCCAGAGTGATCATGAGGTTGCTTTGCAGCATACTGGTCGTTCACAGACAATGGCGGAGATGGCTGTTGCTGCTGTTGTGGTGGTGGCTGAGATCGTTGGGGAGGCCATTGGGGATGGACATTGACCACTCTCTGAGTTGTCGAAGTCGGTGCAACCTCCTGGCTCTGGCCAGCAGTACCGCTTTCTGCCAACCGAGCACGATATGGGAAGTCGAGGTCTTTCAGGGAAGGTAGTCGGAGATGTTCCCGTGGTTGAGGAGGGACACCACCAGCCGAGTACCGGGCAGAAGCCATGAGATGGTGGTTGGTCCTAACTGACCGCGTCCAGATCCAAAATCAGATTTTCAGCAACTTAGCTTCCGTTCCGTGCATCTCCCAATTTTTAACCCAAATTGGGCCTTCTTGTCCTTTACTCGAAGCGTCTACGGCTATAGTACGCCCTCGTAACTCTCGACCAACAACAAAATAAACTCGAATATCATTTGGACAGCCCCCACTCCGAGATATTTACCATCGTCGCTCGCAAGCAAACGCCGTCTCGAGGTCGCATGCTTCATCTGCATATAAATTTTAACCTGGCCGCGATGGGCGGCGTTGTTAGAATCGCTCCCACTCTTTGACTTGTGAGAGAAGTCCTTGCCCGATTTATGACGCGGAATCGGGCGGCTGCGTCGTTGTCTGGAGAGCACAACGGGAGTACTGACTGGACCTCTAACGAGAGCCCAAGGATACGCTGTGTGAACGGAGGTGAACGGGTGACTGTTGTCTGGCAGATCCTTGATAGAGTAGACTTGGCTTGCAGCCAGCTGAGTGGTGGAAAACGCTAAAAATGAGTATAGAAAAGACTACAAGAGGCCATCATGTTGCAGGCTAGGATGATCAGAAACGAGCTATGCAAGGACGGAAGAGATAACCTTGTTGTGCAAACCTGAAGGAGAGAGCAAGTAGGTCACTCGTGACTTCACCATTCTTTGAGACCTTCGATGGGCAGCCTACAATATCAATGCCAATAGTCAAGTTCACGGCTGTGATAAACACAACTTACCTCGACGATCGTTCAAATAATGGAAGAACCAATAGGAACCAATCCTCTCGGCTCCCGGAGACGTCGACCTCATCGCCTTCAACCCGCAAGTCCGGCTCCCGAATGCTTCTCAAGACTGCCTCCGACCGCGTGTCTATCCATTGCGAGGAGCCGTCTTCGCACGGTTGACTCTCTTTCAATGTCGTTTCCCAGGACAGGCAGCCAGTCAACGCAATCGAATCAAGCATGCTCCGTCAAATGAACAGTTGGGTAATCTTGGAACCGCCAATCGTCCTAGTGTGTTTGAAGTTCTGTTCTTCAACTTGTCTATTCCTTCCTTCTCATCCATTTCAGAGCGTGGATGGTTCACATAGTTCGAATGAGAGATCCACATCTTGCCGAGCCACACGAGATCAAGCTTGCCTAAGGTTCTTCAAGACCAATTTTTTTGCATCTTCAACGCGTAAAGACAACACAGTAGACGACCCTCGCACTGGCAATTGTATCGTACACTTAACTCAACTTCGTCGAACAGCTTGGAACGACTCATCTCAGCAATGACTCCCATCCTGAGCCAAGCAACGACTCACTTCACTTATTTCGTATTCTTTACTTCTGCACTTTGTAGCCTCCAGGAGTGGTGTAAGTTGAACCGCCCTTCCCGTTATCGTAGTACGTCGACCCGTTCGGGTTGTTGTAGTAGTAGCTCCCGTCACTGAAGCAACAAAGAGATTGGTTAGCACAAAGAACGACCACCCTCAGGGCACCACAGACGACGTACGAGTTGGAGTAGTGGTATCCCCCGCCTGAGCTGTACTCGCGATGACAGTAATGGTTGCCCTATTCGTCGTATTGTAAGTCAATGACGCGACGCGACGACAAAGATAGGAGACGGACGTTAGAGTTGGTACCAGAGCTGGTGACGGTGTAGTCGCCGCCTTTGGAGGAGGAAGAGGTAGACTTGCCGCTCATTGCTTCGAGTTGTGATAGTGGTGGTTCACAGTAAAGAACGAGAATGGGGCGAATTCGGCTTTTATAGGCATCAGCGGAGTTGGGATTTGGTGATTGCCGAGGACGGAAACCAGCGCACTCGCACATTAACGAGGGAAGGGATGTAGCGTGCAGCCAGCTGATTTGTGCCGGAGAAGAGAGAATCGTTGGTAAATGAGCGAAATAGAAATGAAGAAATTCAAGTCGACAAAATGCAAAAACTTATACTCTCGACCTGGGAGTCGAACCCAGCTTTCGCGCGCACTTTCAAGACTATAAGACTGACAGGCGCGTGTACTAACCGATATACTAGTCGAGATGGTGTCAGAAGTAAGGCGGTAGGCACTATGATCTGCATGGTCACAGCAAGTATGGCAAGTAGCTGAGACTGTTACTATCTTATCTTATCATTTCATCACGTCATATACCTGAACAGCTCAAAAATGCATTAGAGCAACTAATGGTACATGGGTCTAATATAATAGTGTGCTTAGGCCACAGCGGCCATGGGAACAGGAAGATCGTTCCCGAGGCCGGGCTTGACAACGCCATTGACATCACACGGGCCAAAAGCCCAGGCGTCGCTGTGGAGTTTATAGAGCCCGTACTTGACAACCCACATCAGCGGCTTGGGCAGGGGAGGGAAGCTGCAGCACGTTGAGGAAAGCACAAAGAGGCGAAGAACGACTCACTAATCAGCGGTCGATTTGTCGTGGCAAATGAGGCCAAGCGGGAGGGTCGTGATGAGAGATACCTCCGCCATGATGCGCTTGCCGATGTTGGCCTCGAGGTCATGCAAGTCCTTCTCCGTAAACGCCGCCCGCATCTTTGATGACTCCAGCGTAGGGATTTCCTATAGATTCTTCACGTCAGCTGCAATAGTCAAAAGGTAGAATGGGATTACACACATCGCGGAGATGCTCAACGAGGATGTCGGTGAAGCTGTTCAGCTTCTCGATGATGGTGGCGCCACTATATTTCTCAGTTCCGTCTTGTACGGCGTTGAGGTATGTCTCGAGGTCTTCCAGGCCGCTCATGAAAGCGGCATGTTGCTCGACGTTGTGGCCCATTGTGTTTTCGCCCAGCTTCGACTCATAGAACGGGAACAATAACGTTTCCTCAATATGATGATGATGGTGGAGCATTCCGAGCTAGCAAAACGCGTTCAGAGTCATGTGTGCTGGCAGCAGGGTAACATACAAAAGCAATGCAGTAAAAGACGAAGGGCTTGACTTGGGCCTCTGTTATGCCCTCTGCCTGAGCGTAGATGCTGTTTACGCCGCGAATGAACATGTTGTGAGAGATAGACATGTCGCTGAAGGGCTGCGTTAGCCATAGTATAGCGGTTGTGGGTCCACACACATAGCTTGGTTGTCGAAGATGTCTTTCCAGTTGCCCGCAGGCCGAGCTGGTGAGTGGTTAGCCACGGACGCTTTGCCGGTGCTCTGCTCACCAATGGGAGGAAATGGGAAGGGCATGACGGGAGGAAGAGAGAGAGAGGTCTAGGCGATTAGGCAGCATGATCGCCCTAAGTCCGTATGTTCTGATGGGCGATCATTAGCGAAGCAACAGATCTACGCGTCCAATCAAATGCCGCTTGATTGTCAAGCCGACAAGCTCTGAGCAACTCTTTCGTCAAAGAAACATTCAACGGCTGACTTGAGCTTCAGAACTGGGCCCGAAAAGCTGAACAATGGCTCTTATGTTTCTTTCTCGAGCCTCTGCTAGCCCCTGCGCATGCGAGGACCACAAGCAGGAAGAAATATAAGTCTCTGATCCGCCTGGCCGCCGGAAAAGGAGGTAAAAAATGGAATATCAATCAAAGGAAGCATCTCTTGTTGGTATTGTGTTGGTGGATGCCAGTGGAGCGGCGACGGCGCATGTCGGCCCAGTTAGAGCGCCTTACTGTCGCCACTCAGAAACAGCGCGACTTTGTCAAGATAAGGATACTGAAGGTTGAACATTGACAGTCAAGGCAAACACATGGACAGTGGCAGGCGTGGATTGAATGTGCACCGTAAAAATAAGCTACTCCGGACAGTTCCGTTGCCGGACAGGTCAAGCTCGCAAGTGCATCATCAAAGACAACATTCGAAGCAAGATGGGTCTCAGGCCAATCTCAGGCTCGCGGATAAGCCTTGTTGACCACAAAGCCTTTTCATTACCAAGTCATCTAGTCTAGGGGTCGAGTTGTTGTGAACATAGTCGAGGATTTGTTCACTGGTTCAGAGGTAAGAAATTGGCGCATCAGAATGACGTCAGGTGACCGCGACGATTCAAACTCCAGAAATCTTCTAAACTCTTCTGAACGTAGGTACAGCGCCGCTGGAGTGGTGAACTGCAGCGCGAAGCAAGCGCGAAGAGAAATGAGTTGTAGCGGCGTTTGAAAAGTGAAGCCTTCACTCTGAGGCTTGAGCAGTTTCTGAATCGGACCACCGAACAGTTTAAAAATAGGCTGCAACGCTGATGAGCGAGGGCGAAGAGACCGGCCTATGCTCTGAACTATTAAACTCGTTTCCATGCAGAGACATGAGAGTAAAACGTGTTCAAGGCACAGATAAACACTGCCGTCGTTCGACCTGTTTTTCTGAGTCTGGCTGTGACCGTGACATCTGGTCTTTTGCTCTCCACCTCTCTCCAGCGTCCCGGAATGTCTTGCACACCTCGACATTGCGACCAAACGTAGACGGATGTGAGCGCCGGAGGAGCCTCTCGCATCACCGCCATCCGCTTATAAGTGGCGGTTTGAGCGCCGTTGAACCTCAACTTGCAGGTTGCAACCACCTGAAATGCCTTACCCATTCCCTCTCATTGGTGCGCTGACACCACTTTTTGCAGCCCACCGTATGCGTCTGACATTTACTCCAGCACTTCCTCCAGGCGACCACAAAGATGTCTTCGACAATCAAGCCATGTAAGTGCACCTGCGGCCGCCTGGTCATCGAGGTTCAAACTCTATCCAACAGTGAAATGACGATTGCGCATAACTCGTTCATCCGTGGGGTGAACGCAATCTACACACAGGCCAAAGGAATTGGGGAAGCACAAGTCAAGCCATTCGTTTTCTTCTGCGTCTGTTTCGTGCGTCCTCTTTCTGGCATCGCTTTGGTTCTCTCATCCGGAGTATAGCTTGAGATGCTTCACCATCACCATCATATCGAAGAGACGCTCATATTCCCTTTTCTCGAAACCAAAATGGGAGCAAATGCCATGGCCCACAATGTGCAACAGCATCATGCGTTCCTGGACGGATTGGAGGACCTTGAGGAGTATATCAAGGCTGTCCAGGCTGGGTCAGCTGCCTATGATGGTGCAAAAATTGTCGAGAAGCTGGATAGCTTCACCGAACAGCTGGTTGAGCATCTGTGCGAGGTATGCTTCCATTAGCATGGCGATAATCCCTTGACCAATCACCTGTTAGGAAATTGGAACTCTGGAATCCAGCAAAATCCGAGCGGCATTGACGAAGAAAGATCTTAAAGACCTTGAGGCTCAACTCGTGAAGCGCATCATCAAGGAGGTTTCCCTTGTTACTACGCTCCCTTTGGGGCTCCTCTGTCACGACAAAGCATCGGCACCACAGCGAGTCCACTTCACAGGCTACTTTCCCAGCTTACTTTCCCATAGTTTTCCCGCGTTGCCTGCTCCAGTCTTATTCTTGGCAAAACGTGTCTTCTTCCACCTTCATAGTGATGCTTGGGCATTCGCTCCTTGTGATATTCATGGTACCTTAAAGCCCGGCTTGGGCAACAAACCCATAGTTTAATTTATCTAGACTTCTCTTTATTCGATGTCCAAAAGAGCCGACTCTCAATGAATAGGTTTTCGTGAACAGCCACCCGAATCCGATTAGTATTCTGGACCCTTCCAACGTGTCTTTATAATTCGCTCACACAAGGTTCGACTTGGCGACGTTGGATAATTCAATTGTGAGTGCCATCGACCGTCCTTCACTGCGTGTACATATACCGACTGGATCATAGATGTGTCTTGGACCTCTTGGTGGACTTGCAGGAAACAAGAGAATGGCTCTGTCATTTTCTACCGGTCGTGGCGATGTGTCTCATGTTGCCATCGATCAATTGTAGCCGGCATCAGCGCCGGCACGTCCATCTTCGGCCGTTCCGCTCGATTGCCGTCAGGTAAAACGCGCCTCCGTTTTGCCGCCCTGAGCCACGCATCACCGTTCTGCGCATCGCCGCGCTGCGCTGACTGGCAGTATATAAAGGCTGGTCCAAATGCACTGGGAATCCTCGACTTCAACTTCACCAGCGACAACATGCCTTACCCCTTTCCTCTTGTTGGTATGTCCATGCATCCGCGTTTTGTTGAATCTTGTTGACGTGGTACTGCTAGCGCGACCTGCTGGTGATTGGAAAAACGTATTCGACAACGTAGCAATGTACGTGTGTGGTGCTTCCATCTACATAACCTAATGGATCGACAGAGAAATGTCTATTGCCCACAACATGGTTATCCGGGGAATAAACGCTATCTACACACAAGCTAAGGACATTCCTCAAGACAAAGTCAAGCCCTTCGTATTCTTCTGCATTGCCGTTGTACGCTCTTGCTCAGCTATATAGCTATTTGGCCTTTTTAATGCTCTCCTCAGTTCGATTCTCTCCATCATCACCACCACATGGAGGAAACTCTCACTTTCCCGTTCCTCGAGACCAAACTGGGAGCGGGTTCGATGGGCGACAATAAGGAGCAACACAAAGCCTTCCTCGGCGGCCTAGACGAACTCGACGTGTATCTGAAAGCCGTAAAAGCTGGGACGGCGCGATATGACGGTGCCCAAATCATCGCGAAGCTCGACACATTTGTCGAAGCGCTGGTCGAGCACTTGCACGAGGTTCGCATATTCGCCTTGCTGCAGTGCTGGCCATGCTTACATCATCCTTAGGAAATCGACACGCTCGAGTCGGGCAAAATGCGTGCGGCATTCACCGAGAAAGAGCTGAAAGACTTCGCCGCCCAATTCGTGAATACCATTCGGAGGGATTTTTCGCTGACCGTCGATGGGCCGCTCGCGCTTGCCCTGCACGAAAAGGCGAGTGCGCCTCAGTAAGTGACTGTCCTTCGCCTAGCATTCATTCATTCATTCTGCCATTTCACTAGCTTCCCTCCGATGCCTGCGCCGGTTCTGTGGGGAATTCATTATGGCCTGTACCACCTGCACAGCGACGCGTGGGCTTTTGGGCCGTGCGACGCCAACGGAGTCCTGAAACCCAATATGGGTAATGTCTCCCTCGCACTTTCTTGAACAAAACTGGAGTTGTATTCGCGTTATTTGGGTTTTAGCTGTAGTATCTGTGTACTTACCATTTAGGCTTGTATTATTGACCGTCGAGTTTTACTTGAGTTCTGGTCGTCAGAACACGGCGAGTTGAAGGGCTTCTCCTTCACCAGCTGCTTCTCTCATTGAATGTCCAACGAGGCCAAGACCGCGAGGTCAGACCCGTGCAGATCCAGAAGGTTCTAACTGGAGGGCTGTCGAAGACACTCATCTGACCCCGCATCGATTGAAGGCGCGAATCAAACGGTTAATTGTCTGTGGAGCGCTGGAGATGGTTACGCGTCTTCCGCCAGTGCCCAGATTACGCGTCATCGCGTCGGAGTGTCGCAGACACCCATCTTATGCTGCGATTCGTCCAGGACGGAAGCAAGGAAACACGGAATAACATCACAGACCCGGCCATGAGGGCTGGAGCCGAGGCGACGCAGGGATGGGGAGGGATAAAAGGGAGAGTAAACCATCCCCACTTTCCCAGCCAACTTTTCCCCTCCCATCCTCCCAAAACATCCTCCACTTCGCAAATGGCTTCCGGTGCGTCCAGAAATTTTGATAGCCAACCTCTCTCTCTTGACCTCAGTTTACAGTATCTCATGCACTTTGGGTCACCCTCGATGCCAAGAGCGGCCAGGTCGCTGCAGGCTCCGAATTCTTGAAGGGTGGTGCTGACCTTGCCGCTGCTGAGCCCGACACCGTCCACTGGATTGCGCTGAAATACGCCGACTCCGATACTCTCGCTGTTTTCGACACTTTCCGCGGTGAGGCGGCCGTGAAGACGCACTTGGCGGGCCAGGTTGTTGGCGCGCTGAACGCCCACGCCTCCAACTTCTTCTCCAACACACCACAAATTGCCCAGGGCAACCTTCTCTCCACGAAAGTCGTGAAAGGCAAGAACGTGACCGTTGGCCTGCGCGCGGTCGTCACGCCCAAAGCCGACAAGGTCGATGTAGTGCGGAAATTCCTGGCCGAAGCCACTCCTCTCGTCGAGCAGGAGGACTTCACGCCATTGTGGTGGGCCTTCGAGGTTACTGGGGCTGACCCCAAGTTCATCATCGTCGACTTTTTTGAGGATGATGCCGCCAGGGAAAAACACACCGCGGGAAATGTGGTTGGGGCCCTGAAGAGCAATGCGGATGACCTCTTGGCCGCTGCGCCGGAGATCGTTAAGGTAGATGTTATCGTTGCACACCTAAAAGCATAGAGTAGAGTCTAGACATCACGATTACGAATTGACAAGACATTCAACGCTTGCTCCGAGCTGAGGCTAGTAGTTGCCTACTACATGGCGCACAAGGTCAAGAGATTCCAAGTTGGTGGTCGACGTCACGCATGTCACATCACCCAAATTTGTTTGTCAAGTTCAACCTCAGCTCAGCGCTCTGCACGCCGTGAGCACTCAGCGCGACTACTTTCACTCCTTGACATGCTCAAAGAACGTTTGCAAACAGCACACCCTAACCGAGAGCCTCTTCCAGAGCATTGGTTCAGATTCCAAACAGGACATCTACCCATCTCCATCGACACTCCGGGGTTCCACTATGACCACAATGGAAATATCTTCCGGAGTGCCACTCAAATCCTTGTGAATGGGGACAGGGCTGTGATGGACAGCGGCGCAGCTATCGATATTATCTACTCTCGCAACAAGGATGTTGAAGACTGTCCTGAAAATCGCGCGCTCGATGCGAGGCAATGTTTAGACTGGGCAACCACCAAGAAGGTCACTTTCATTTTTCTCAGTCTGCATGAATAATCACCTCACTTCAGACAGATTCTAACACAAATCGACGATACGCTTTTGGGCTGGAAGACAGAAGTGACTCTGAAGACACTCCGAAATGGCTCGATGGATCTTCAAACAACCCATCATAAGCATCATGATGTTGGAAACACACTCCCCGACAACGTCGTCATCGACCGCCTCCCCGTTTCTGCGATTCGACTCCACTTCAACCACAGATCTGGCCTTGGCATTTACAAAGCTGTTATCGCCCCAGAGTGGGGGAAATATAGAGTTTTCAAAGGAGTGACCGAATTTTCGAATCCTCTACAAGATCTTGAATTCTTTGCCTCGCTTCCGCACTCCGATCACTTAATCCGACCTACGCATGCAGTCGTAGACGAATCAGGCAATTTCCGGGGTATGCTCATGGACTTTCACTACGCAGGCAACTTGGCTGAATACGTTACCGACCCCCGTCTGGATAACGAGTGCTCTTGCGCTGATTTACCGCCATTTGGGCCAGAAGCAACCCCCCCTCTACTTGAAAACACAGTGTTGTTTCCGCTGGAGGTTAAACTTGGGTGGGCGCGCGATATTGCTGCTGCCGTAGCGTGGTTACACCAGCAGGGCGTCTTCTGGGGCGACCTTCATCTCCACAATGTCATTCTCTGCAACGATGGACGATGCCGCCTCATCGACTATTACCCTGATCCTTCCGTCTGGACCCCACGCTACTCTCCGCCAGAGCTGATCATAGCCGAGCGTGCTCGTGAACTTCCGCTGACCCCACAGCGGGACGCGTTCCATCTGGGGATTGCACTATGGGCGCTCATTGAGGAGGCTGTAGATTTCACGCGAGAAGTCCAGTGGGTCCGACCGTGTTTGCCTTGGAGAGAAAGCACCCCGCGGTGGCTGGTGGATGTGGTCGAGTCGTGTCTCGCTACTGATCCAAACGAGCGTTCGTCTGTCCAGGATGTGTACGATGTGCTACTGTCTCATGTCGAGTAGAAAATTCCCACTTTGTTGTGCTTTGCTACTGCTTTGAATATTGCTCTTTCTGTTAACTGTCGTGGCTAGACTCGGAATACTTATCCTACGAGTAGGCGTCAACCACCGTGGCACAATTTGCCTAATGATGAAATTGTGTAACAAACTTTTGAACCTGCCTTCAACTCTCATTCCCAGCCGTGCGCAGAGCGGCGAGCGAGTGTCGCTCGCAGGCTCCATAATACGCGTGCTCAAATTGATTCAAGTTGCAGACTCGCAAGAATACAACTGTGTTTCTGGGTCATGGTAACATTCATTTAGTACTTGTAGGCCATTTGAAAAGTGATTATTACTATGATTAGGAGCACACTCGGAGTCAGCCTTTCCATTGACATGTACTTAAGCAGACTTGAAGTCGAGAGTATGTTGGATTGGATTGTTGGAATCACTGATCAAATCATCGTTGACTCAAACAGCCATGACACGTAAGTCAGTCAAGCTTCATTCAACTGAGTACAATGGTCCTGACTGACATGCAACCTGAGGACCTCTGGTGGGCCGCGCGAAGGATCTTCTTGGAGGACTCAGGGTACCGTCTCCGACCCAAATTTCATCCCGACTATGAACCCGATCCCAATGCCTTCTGGTATACAGAAAGAGAAACCCACATAGTAGGATCTGGTTTACTGTACTGTGTTGACATGCTAATTCTGCGAACAGCGCCCCACCATAATGGACGTTACTCGTATCTCTGACGGGCGTCTAGTTATGCTCAAGGCTGTTTCAACGCGTGTTCACCCACACGAAGTGGAGATAGCCTGTCTTTTTTCGTCCCCGCCACTTTCTGAAGACCCAAGGAATCATTGCATTCCAATACTGGAGGTCCTTCAGGACCCCGATGACGCCGACTTAAAAATCATCGTCATGCCTCGTTTAATCCGTATGGCGCAACCTCTGTTTGAAACTGTGGGTGAGGTCGTCGACGCCTTTCGGCAGATTTTCGAGGTATGTATGTGTTAGCTCAAACCTTGTGGACACCTCTTGATCGCGAGAAGGGGATTGAATTCATGCACGAAAACTTTGTTGCTCACCGGTATGATAATTTTACCTATTCTCGAGAACTTTGTCACTCATCTCTTCCAGAGACTGTAGCATGGGCAACATCGTCCAAGACCCCACTCTGCTCTATCCGGCTGGCTTTCATCCTATCTACACCACGCAAGACCCCACAAATAGCCACCGAGCTCCTGTTGTCACTCGGACTAAATGCTGGCCGCGTTACTTTGTTATCGACTTTGGTTTGTCGAGGCGATATGATCCCTCTGAAGGGCCACCAGCGGAGCTTACCATTCGTGGCCTTGACCAGTCACCTCCCGAGCACAACAAACCTCCTTGGGTCTGCAACCCATTCCCCACCGACATCTACTTCCTTGGCAACACGTTGAAACACAAGTTTCTTTTTTCTAAATGGGCGGGCAAACAATGGGTACCGTTGGTCAGTCTAATCCCACCCGTCTGTGCCGACCTGTGGCTTATTATGGTTCTGCAGCCCTCGCTCCGCTTCCTTGAGCCTCTGATAAACGACATGATCCAGGAAGACCCAGCGATGCGTCCAACAATTGGAGAGGTCATTGAAAGATTCAACGCGCTATGCAATCCATTGTCCCAATGGCATTTGCGACGGCCAGGTCAAACTTATTCATTTCATTGGTACCTATTGCTCATGCAGATTACTCGGACACTCCGACGCGTCCCCCCAGTTCCACCATATCGTCCACGGTTAAACTTAATCCCCCTTAGCCAGTCGTTACGAGACTTCTATACTCAGACCCCGGTGGTGCCAATAGAGAAAGAGGCTGAACCATCCGACGTTACTTTAGACGACTTGTAGCACTATGTAAGTATCTTGTTGGCTGAGTATTAGGTACTCCGAGTCAATGACATCCTGTATCATTAGAGGGGAGAGCCAATTTTTTGTCGCCCAAGATCTGGAGTTTGTTACGCGGCGTGACGCTGATACTTATGGCTTCTCCGCGACCACAAACATCGCAAAATCCGCTTGTCGCAGCGCCGCGGCCGGATTCATTGGTCAGACGGTCGCTGCATGCCATGTCTGACTTTCTTTCTCCGTTCTCTCCCGCTGCATTGGCCAATCTCCCTGCTCGACCCGTTCGCTACACTCGAGCCGACAACATCCCAGAAACGGAGGCAGATGAAGAGGGCCAGAGACCGGCTGTTCGGGACTACCTTTCCATTAACCACCCTTCGGTGCATCCGAATGTGCGTGTGCCAAAGAAGATCGCAACGGCTGTCAGAGTCGAGGGCAAAGTTTGGTTCGCAAATGAGCGGAGTGAGCATATGTCCACTTCAACGCTTTACTAAGTCTCATAACCACTTCGCAGCTTGGGTTGCCTGGCTCAATATTGCTGTTCTACTGGGAACATTAGCGCTGGCTCTGTTCAACGCCTCCAAAGATCCCATTGCTCGCGCTTTTGCCTATGTTTATGCCCTGATAAGTATTGGTGTACTAGTATGTTGTCCGTTCCATGTCCTGTCCTTGAGCTGAACCGTTAGATATACGGCTATGCGCTGTACCAGCACCGGATAACGATGATTCGAAGACGAGATCCAGGACATTTCGGTCTGCTTTCGTTGTCTGCTGTCCACGTCTCTCACCGAATTCTAGATATGATTATTGGCCCTGTGGTAGTAAGCACATTGCTTTTCATCGCAGTCGCCGCCAATTTTATGATTCGAGGTATGTGTTTCGTGCCCACAACTTCCAAGTAATGTTTGAACGTCTTTCACAGTCCAAGATTTGTCAGTTTTTCCTTCTTCCCATTGAACGCTTGACATGGCTAATACAACATTCAGACGAGACAAAAACGTCCCTATACCTGGCGCAGATCTATATTACTCCCTTGTTCGATTCCTCTCACCATCTCCTCTGTAAACTTACACGCTCATCTTCATCGCGATGGTTGGATGACATTCATATCCCTCCACAACGAAGTCCGAATATACGAACTGTTCAATGTCGGTGATGTCGTCCCGTGCCCAGCGCAAAGTAGGAAATGGCTTGGGAGTGCGCTTGAGTTGAATTTCGAGTGCATCGACGTGGTCCCGGTACACATGCGCGTCTCCCAGTTGGATGATGAGCTCGTTGGCTTCAGTCCCTGTTACGTGGGCCATCATGTGTGTCAGGAGAGCGTATGACGCGATATTGAAGGGAATTCCGAGTCCAAGATCAGCAGAGCGCTGGTACATCAGACACGAAAGCTTGGGCTTTTCGGTGGAAGGCGCGTCGGGAGCTGGGAGATGGACATAAAACTGACAAAGCATATGACAGGGGGGCAGCGCCATTTGAGGAATGTCTGTCCATTTGTGAGTTATACGATTGTTTGAAAAAGAGGGTGGACGTACCCGCTGGATTCCACGCACTAAGAATAATTCTTCTGTCAGTTGGATCCTCCTTGATCTTGCGAATACATTCGCGCAGTTGGTCAACCCCTTCGCCGGTATAATCTTTTTCGCAATCAACGTATTTGGCGCCAAAATGCCTCCACTGGAAGCCGTATACGGGGCCAAGATCGCCCTCTCTCCTGTGGCCCAACCCCCGCTTCTCCAAAAACTCTTTGCTGCCGTTGCCGTCCCAGATTTTAACACCCTTTTCTGAGAGCAGCTTCGAGTCTGTCGCGCCATGGACAAACCAGAGCAGCTCTTCGAGAATGCCACGCAGGAAGGTGCGTTTGGTCGTGAGAAGCGGAAGCGAGTTGTCTGCAAGCGAGAAGCGGAAAGAGGGCGGGGCGAAAAGCGAGAGTGTGCCAGTCCCGGTACGATCGGCACGGACAGCGCCAGTGTCGAGGACGCGTCGGATGAGGTCGAGATACTGCTGTTCTTCGTGTACTGGTGCAGCCATGGGGGTTGTGAGCAAGTAACGCAAACGCGTCAAAACGCGTGACATCACGCATTAGTCACCTTCTTCCACTCACCCATGTCGCTCTGGGTCGACCAGGTCGGTGGCACGTCCTCTTCGCGAGAGTCTCACATAGCCATACACAGTTTCGTCCGCGCACACTCGATGACCTGCACTACCACAAGAACCTCTCGACGCGACTAAAATCACTTGTGAGCTGTGTGTTTTCAAGTATGTAGCGATACTCACCACCCCAGGCTGCCTCCGGGGACTTCCCTCATATGCTCTTCTATGGGCCATCCGGCGCCGGAAAGAAGACGCGTATTTCGGCAACCTTAAGGCAGTTGTTCGGAGCAGGGGCTGAAAAGGTAGGAACAAAATACTGCCTGCTTGTCCGGCCAACCCACTCCTAGCTCAAAATCGACCAACGCGTGTTTCTCACCCCCTCGAAGCGCAAAATTGAGGTCAACCTTGTGACGAGCAACTACCACATTGAGATTACCCCGAGCGAGGCGGGGAACTACGACCGCGTTGTCATCCAAGAACTGCTTAAGGAGATTGCGCAGACGCAGCAGGTGGATATGAATGCGAAGCAGAGGTTTAAAGGTACGTTTGTCGTGGTGTTGCCGGATAAATCTGACCTGGTATGGACAGTTGTCATTATCAATGAAGCTGACTCGCTTTCGCGCGATGCCCAAGCTGCGTTAAGACGAACAATGGAAAAATACATGTCCAATATGCGTGTAATTCTGTGCGCCAACAGTACCAGCAAGCTCATCGCACCGATAAAAAGTCGTTGTCTGCTCATGCGTGTGCCGGCGCCCAATTCCGACGAAGTTTGTGCTGAAAACTTCGTTTGACGGTCCATTGACCATAAAACAGATGACTGCAGTCCTCACTCATGTGGCGAAACGGGCCTACTTTGACCTGCCGCCAGAAGCAGCGCAAGAGATCGTGAGCGACTCAAATGGGAACATGCGGAAGGCAATTCTCGTACTTGAAGCGCTCAAGATGCAGTCGTGTGTACTCTTTTAGTTCGGTCTTTTATTCAGCTAAATTTACCCAGACCGGACCTCTCTGGGCCACTCTCGATCGCTAAACCCGACTGGGAGACATACTGCCATAAGATCGCCAACCTGATCGTGACTGAGCAGACACCAGCACGCGTCATGGAAATCAGGACCAAGTTCTACGAACTGCTAAGCCACTGTATACCGCCCACTGTCATTATCAAAACAGTCGCGGAGGCTCTGGTGACGCAAGTCGATGAGCCGCTGAAGCCTGAAATCATGCATTGGGCGGCTTTCTACGTGCGTCATGTCTAGCTGAGGAAATCTGACTGTGACACTTCCTTCAAGGAGGTACGCATGCGAATCGGGAGCAAGAAGATATATCATCTGGAGGCGTGGGTGGTCAAGTGTATGAGTTTATATAAGGTTTTTGGTTTGTTATCTGGACGCTTGGTGTTGACTCTGACCGAGTTCTGCAGCAATCATTCTTCCAGTTTGACATGGACGACTTTGACTAGAAATCACTGTACCAATAACTTGTATATTACTGAGAGAGGCAGTTACAAGCTTACTTCAAGTTGGTCAGATGAAAACGTGACTTGCCGTGACACCGTGATGTTCCTGGCTGGTCCAAACCACCAAAAAAAGCTTCAGCTGCTTGAAATCTGCCGGGAATGTTGCCCCAGTAACTATCTAATAGAAAGCAAGACTACAATCGATCTCAGCGCATCTAGCCAACCCAATACCAAAAACCGCCTCTACAACCGGTCGCTCACGCTCCCGCCATTTCATCCCTCTTTCAGCGAGTGTTCTCCCACAACCATCGAGAGATAAACTGTATACCTATACGAGCCTATACGCCATGGTCTCAGAAAAGCGTGACATGGATTTCAAACGTTCCTTGATCGTTTTCCCGCTCTCTCGCACAAATAGCGGATTTTCTCTGGTCCGAATGTGAACCTGCTTACTTGGAGGGCTCTGCATGCGCAGTGTGTGTTTTTCCTTCATTCGAGATAAGAACATTTCTGACGGTTGAGATAACCAGGAATAGAATGAGTGATGTAGTGAACGACCAACATACGCCCACGCCAGGATTAGCGTGAACTCGGGAAGTGCGGAGCGCGGCTGACCCGGCACATGCAAGCGCCAGCACATAAAAACTGCGCCACAAACTCCCATGCATGGCCTGTGCCTCTCGCGGTTGGAATGGCCACCCAAGCGATAACGAGTCCCGATACGCGAAGCAGTGTCTCTGACGAGAAACACACCCCAAGCCCAGTCGATGAGAAAGGGGGTCTCAAGCGAGACGACATCGAGACTGCGAATGAACCAGCGGAAGGCGAGTTCGCAGTCCTTGACGACGAGCGGGATATTGCTACCCATGTGATCATGGTGGAAGACGATGAGAGTTTGAACCCGTGGACTGTCCGTGCATTCGTCCTTGGTTTGGGTCTATCTGCCTTCGGTGGTGTCTTGGGTAAATCGTCTATCGAATGCTACACTAGGGTCTGACTCTTTCTCCCCTCCAGCCGAAATCTACTACTTCAAGCCCGTGTGTTATCAGAGGTTGTCGTATGTACTGTCTACTGAATACTTTGTACAGCAAACCGTGCTGGTGTCGACAATGTTCCTTGCTATCATTGCGTTTATCATTGGCAAGGCCATGGAAATGATCCCGGCCGTAGGCCCACTGCGCTACCTGAACCCTGTACGTATACTGCCAATCTGTACGATGTTGCAACTAATCATTTCGACAGCACCCCTGGAATAAAAAAGTAGTTGGATTCACTGCCTCGAAGATTTCCAACTCAACCTTCTGGTCAGGAAAATGCGATGGTCGTTATAATGGCTTCTGCGGCCGCCAACTCAGCGCTAGCCACGGAGGTCCTCGCTGTCCAACGCCTCTTCTACAACTTGACGCCAAACCCGGGAGCCTCTATATTTCTGTTGTTTAGCAGGTGCGTCACGCCATGGCTACTTGTTATTCATGCTAAGCGGAGAGCCAGTCAATTGGCGGGCTATGGGATTGGTGGTTTATTCAGACGTAGGCTATTATTTTCTGTGTCACTCTCCCGCTAAGCGCTGATGTCTTATTTGCAGATGTGCTACTATACCCGTCCAAGATGCTCTACCCGGGCGTCATTCCGTTGATTTCCATGTTGGATGCGCTGTTCAAAGATGCTAAAGAGGCAGCCAAGAAGAAGCGGTTGTTCTGGATCGCATTTGCCGTGTATGCTTTCTTTTGTCTATTTGGTCCCCTGCCAATGTTCATCAGAATTTTCTTCTGGGAAATTCTCCCGGAGTGGATGTTCCCGCTGCTCACTGGGTTTTCCATCTTTTGTCTTGCGAACCCCCGATCCCAAGATTTCACTCGCATCTTTGGTGGGTCGAACGGTAATGAAGGCCTTGGCTTGCTATCCATTTGCTTCGATTGGCAATACATATCTGGTGCGTGTGTCTGTCGAAGAGCGTGGGCTTCCATTGATGTAGTCAGGGGGTGAGCGCTTATCTTATCTTCCCTTATCGCATCTTATCTAAGCAGGCTATAATCCGATGGCAATTCCACTCAAGGCGCAGTTCTCCAATTTCATTGGATATGTTCTTTGCATGTAAGAGACACTTCAGTTCCCGTCGTTTTGCTAACAAGATGAAGGGTTGTGTTTGTTGCCGTGTACTACAACAATATCTGGAATGTGAGCCGCTTGACCAAAGAGTTGTAGCCCGACTGACTCCTTTCACCAGGCCAAAACATTCCCATTCGTAAATCTATTCCACAGTGGTGTCGAGGTGATCACTGAATATTTTCAGTTGTCTCAAGAGCTGTTTTATGCCAATGGATCCCTTTATGACCAACTGTTGATCCTTGATGAAAACCTGGAGGTTGATCCAACGTTACTTGCTCAGCAAGGCTTAGTGCGCTCTTCGTAATAGAAAGTAACTCTCGTTCACTAATATTAACAGCCTTTCTACGCCTCAACATGGGTTGTTCAACTTCTGGTGACCAATCTCGTCAGTCTCTTCGTTTCCAAATTGTATCAAGGCTAGTGCTTAATCCTGCAGGGCATGGCTGCGACTTTCACCCATCTTCTCCTGTGGAACCGGAGTGACCTGAGAGCGGCATGGAGCTGGGCGACACCATCGGCTCTAAAAGCTTCCTGGGCTACGTTCAATTGGCGGTTCTGGCAGGAGGATGGGATGCGCAACGTTCCTAGCAAAGACGACGACACCGTCGATCCGCATTATCGGGAGATGTTAAAGGTTGAGTAGTTTTCGATTCAGAATCAGAAGAGTAGTGACTAACATTGAACCAGTATCCCGATGCGCCAAACAGTTGGTAGGTGCAATTCCTGGAGCTTTAGGCGATTTTGATCAGCGCTATTCACAGGTACTTCGTGACCCTGCTCATCTCAATCATCATCGCGCTTGTTTTGATCTACAAGACTGACTCGACGCTGCCTTGGTGGGGACTGCTGGTTTCGCTTCTTCTCGGAACCATCTCCATCATCTTCTTTGGCGCGCTTTATGCTATTACGGGGTTGCAGTTCATCATACAGCCTTTCGTCCAGGTATGCATTTGTAGACGACTCAACCCAATTCCAACTGTCCGCAGATGATTGGCGGGTTTATTCATCCTGGAAAGCCTGTGGCGAACATGTACTTCGTGTTGTTCAGCTACAGTGAGTTTTTCGAACGCTCGCTGTCCAACCTCTCATCTCTCGTTAGACTCCGTCATCCAGGTTTGTTCGTTGATGCGGAGTTAATTTTGCTTTCCTGATCTGCTTCTTAGGCTCAGCTTCTGCTTCGAGACTTGAAGATCGCCCAATGTGCGGAACTGTGAGAAGCCTGTCGTTGTCTAATCTGGCTTCAGATACGAAACTCCCCCCTCGCGCCGCATTTACTGCTCAAATTCTCGGCACCCTCTTTGGTACATTGTCTCGCGCATACCCAATTATACCATGCTGACTTGGCACATAGGTGCCGTCCTCAATTTTGGTGCGATGACTTGCGCTTTACGTTCGCGGCCAACTTACCTAGTTTCACGACAATAGTGCTCATGAACTCCATCATCGACGCTCAGCGACCGATCCTGCTCTCTGTGGAAGGGACCAATATTTGGTCCGGCCAACAGCCACAGCAGTATAACTCTCAGGCGATCGCTTGGGGTGGATTGAGGTCATCGATCTACTGATCTATATCTTATCTCGCTGACCTGTTCATCAGTCATCAACTTTTCGCTCTAAATCAACGCTACGAGTGGGTTGCGTGGGCTTACGTTGTGGGACTTGCTGTTCCGGTCCCATTCTGGATCGCTTACCGCTACTTCCCCAAACTCCGGACCGACTACCTGTACACTCCGGTCATTTGGTATGTGGTCTGTGAACCCTTGTCCCAATTGTGACGGAGACATGCAGTTATTATATCGGCTGGCTATGCGTAGGTATCAACTCTTCCGTCTCGTCCTACTTCGTAATTGCGTATTTATCGCAATGGTGGCTTCGCACTCGCTACCCGCGTTGGTTCACGAAATACAACTATGTTCTTGCCGCTGGTGCGTCAATGCCATCGCATGCCATTTTTCTTTCCTTCTCACATGTTCGATAGCGCTCGATGGCGGCACGCAGGTGATGGTCTTCATTCTCTCATTCGCTGTCCAAGGCGCTTCCGGAAATTCCCACTTGTTCCCACAATGGTGGGGCGCGAATCAAAACGGTTCGATTTCGTTGGAAGAAGCTGTTGCTTTACTCATCCTACCATAGGGAATTACGACCGTTGTGCTGTGGTACCGAGCCCCTAGGGCACATAGTTATCGCTGTAGGGACAATAATAGCGTTGATTTGAACTGTCAGGAGGCCACGGCGGTTACACGGTGTTTGAAAGTCCTTCACTAAGCATGCTTCTGATCTGAGTCAGGTCGTCTACCGGGCGACGCGGTGTTAGATTCAGTTAATAAGGAGCCTGTTCTGCTGCTTTCACCCATACCACTCTGCAAATGCCCTCCAGCAACGGTAGATTATTCACTGACGGCGAAGAGAGTTACAACTGACCTTGGTGTTACAGTTTCTCTTGCCCTTTTCGTGCCCCTCGCTGCCAAGGCCGATAAGATTGATGATGTCACCGCGTTCTTGAAAGCAGGCGCGGGGATCGTCGTCGACAGCGAGCCAGACACTATTCAGGCAATTCACTCGCTCGCATTGACAAGTTGCAAAGTCTGACATTACTCAAGTGGTATGGGCTGAAATACGCTGACTCGGACACGTTTGCTGTTTTCGATACGTTCCGCGCGGAATCTGGGCGCTCAGCTCACTTGTCTGGCAAGGTCGCTGAAGCACTCGGCGCCAATGCACCGACGTTGCTCGCATCCGGACCGGAGATCATGCAGGCCACCATCTTGGCGAACAAAGTTGTCCCGGGCAGCAACGCAACAGTCGGGCTCCGGGTATTGCTCACGCCGAAAGCCGACCAGGTAGCCACACTGCGCAGTTTCCTCACTGGCGCCGTCCCGCTTGTTGAGGCGGAGGACTTCACTCCGCTCTGGTATGCCATCGAGTTCCCTGGGCCCGAGCCCAAGTTTGCGATCGTCGATTTCTTCGAGGGAGAGGCGGGAAGGGCACAGCACTTGGGCGGCGAAGTTGCAAAGGCGCTGTTTGCGAATGCGGATGTGCTCCTGGCGAGTCCCCCAGACGTGGTCAAGCTTGATGTCGTAATTTCGAGCGTGAAGGTTTGAGGCAGAAGTAGAATGTACTGCTGGGAGAACAAGATGGTTGTAACTCAACTTCGATTTCAATTCACAAAACAACACCAATATTGATCAACTAATCCTTGTGTCTATTTCGCGGGCTCCAGGTTCAGCCAAAGAAGCATCTGAAAAAATCATTCATATCATTGGTCTAGCACGAAAAAATCATAATCGCACTTGAAGGCAGACATCTCGTCATTGAAGCCAGCGGTGCTGAGGTCTGCGATGCCGGGGCTGCGGATCGGTCCGAGCTCAGCACCAGAGCAGTCGATGTTCCTGCGGATCACGAACATCACTGATGGAGTCCGATGTGATCAGAATCGTGCCTTACTCGAAGATGAAGCAGTCCTGGCCGGAATCAGGCCCGAAAGAAGAAACCACGTCGTTGAAGCCACTGGGTACCCCGACGCACTGGCCACTGGCGCCGTGGGCGACGGTGCAAGCGCCCTTGAAGTTGGCGTCAACGCACATGAACCTGTTGTTGATATAGTAACCTTGTTAGTGATGGAAGAAAACTCACACGTTGCCTTGGGTAGCGGGGGCTGGAACGACCGCTCCATAAACGAGCGGGAGCAGAGCGAACAAAGCGATGGAGAGCTTCATTATGTTGAGATGCTTGGAGACTGGAAGCTGTAGCTAGAGACTGCAGGTGCGAGACTCTGGCTATCGCCGTTGATTTTCTGGCTTTTTATGCAAGCTCTTCACATTTTTGTTTTGGTTATGCTGGCGTCCCGCTCGCTCGAGTTGAAGAACGCGTCCCGTGGTCGGTCTTCAAATAGAAATGTCAATGCAGACCGGCTGAGACAGACTCGCCGCCGAGTACAGCGATAGTCGTGAGTTGAATGTCGGTGAACAAAATTGCCTTTTGAGTGCCTCTAGACCAGCCATCAGTGAACATGAGCATTGCACATGTGCAGGTCGGACTCCCAGAATTGTAGAGCGCTGCGGGTTCCTGCCGTGGTGATTTCCGTTGGAGGAAGTTGGATGGCTTCTAGGCTTGGAGGACTTAGGGAGCTAGAATGGGACCAGGAGCAGTTGAATCAAGGAAGTCGAGAGCAAGTCGTAGAATGATGTCATCAATTCACTTCAAGTTCATTCTTGTTTCTCAACACTCATGCAGACGAAGTTCACCCGCTCAGTCCCGCTGGCGCCAATGCTGGAGAAAAGAATCCCGTTTCCGACTCTATCGTGACAATGGGTCCTCGGTCTGGCTTGCTGCCCAACGTCTACCTGCGAGACAAATCACGATTTCGAATGTGTACACCCAAAAGTTTAGGAATCAAGTTGCCTCGAATACTCTCAAATACGAGACTCGAAGAAATCAACCGGAAAGTCTCGGAGCTTTCCGATACGGATGATTGGGTGGGCCTATTAGAACCTAGGATGGGCGGACTATGGGAAAACATGGCTCAGGGCGCTACTGGCCCCGCTATAGGTTCGTATTCCATCTGTTTTCAGGCTAACAACGTGTATCCATTACTTCCTGTTTGCCTCCTGTTCAAGTTGAAATTTTGCAGGCATAATTGAACCGTAAACGCGCGAATTATCCAAGCATCACATGAAGTCATCCTCTAACTCCCTTACCGATTTGCCCTTATCCCGCTCCTCGTCCTCGTCCTCGTATTCGTTCTCTTGCTGCTCGAACAGCGTATCGTATGAGCGTGCGTTTTTCTCCTCCTCTCGCATCTTTGCCAGCTCCGCATCAGCTTTTTTCTACACAACTTTCAATATAATCAAACAACACTTCAAAAACTAAAACTGACCTTCTCATTGGCAGCTGCTCGACGTGCGGCACCCTCCCGTTTCAACCGGTCAACCCGATCTTGCTCGTGGTCAACGACCCGCTCGACTTTTGTCTTGTTCAACCGGTTCACAATCGGGTTTTCGCGTGTGGCGACGTGGACTGTGCGAGTTGGCAGAATAGCCGTCTGAGCAAGCGTGAACATACCCCGTTTGACCTGGGAGCAAAGTTAGCTGGGGCTTTCTGGAGAGGTCTGCACTCACCCGTTTGTCGTTGTGGAACGAGACTTGGCCGACAGCCATGTCGCCCGTTTTCTAGGTAGCGCAGCTTGATTAAGACGAGTCCAAGGGAAATGATATGCGGAGACCTTGAGATTATCCGCGGGGGTATATATAATCGTTAGATTGTCTTTCTTGTTACCTGTTTGGTGCGGAATGGATGTCCTTTTACGAGCCTTGATAGAAGTAAAGTGCTAAACGCACCCTCTATGGAGTTCGCCTTGACGAGCTGCGCGCAATCTGTCAGCAGCGGCATGGGTATTGCTTCCCATGACATGGAGCCGTCTTCGGGGAGACGGAGGTAAACGTGAGCGGAGGAGAGCTTGTCAACGTGGAACCAAATGTCTGTCGTCAGAGCGTATTTGATCAGGTCTTCGTCTACACGGCTTGTGAGTATATGCGTATGGTGAGGGGGAGGAGCAGTGGGTTCGAGTCAAATCGTGCCGAAGGAGAGAATGGCCATCGATACAGACTTTCGACTTTGTCTTTGCCCATATAGATCGTGATGGGCGTCGCATGTGCTGGATTACCATGAAGATCGACGGAGAGCAACCCAAGGGCACCAACCGGTTGAAGTGAAGAATAGAACCATGTGGTCGTGAGGAAAGCGTGGCTGATTATCTTATCACAGCTAATCTAACGAGAAATCAAACACAGCCTCCACGCCTCCTAACCCGACCAGCGATGTTCCACACAATCGTCCTTCTGGCGTCATCCGCCCCGTCAATGGCTGTCGGGGCCGCATGCGCGTGCCTATTGGGAGACCGGGCCATCAACCACTTCTTTATCTATTCAAACCAGCCAATTTCAGAGCTACCATTATACAAGAAGTGGTGCTCCTCGTTTGTGTTGGGTAGTTACGAGTCCGACCTCGTCATGATCCCAGCTCCTGGTGACAAAAGCGTCAGAGTCCATCGCTCTCCGGAACAGCTGAAGAGTCGGTATTTGGCGTATGTGCGAAAAACGGTTGCGCTTGTGCGAGACGATCAAACCCTCTTTCTTCCTCTGCTAGCCCCTTGCGACGCCGGACTCGTGCATCTGGGTGAAGGCGTCAGTATTTCGTTGGCTGAACTTGCACTTGCACTTTCCTCTTCTCGCAACGTGAAGTTGTGGATGCCAGAATGCGATGATCCATGCTGGAGAAGGCCAGGGTTGCCATGGACAGTTCTCGACAAGGTGTCTCCGATTCACGATCGTTTGCGACAAGCAGAACCGCTTAACATCTCGCCTTTCATCCTCCCAAAGCTTTTCGACGAGGCCCCGCCATATTTCAAGTACTGCAATGTAGACCTCCAAACTGCCAAGCGACTGGCCGCCGACCTGGAGGCGCTTATTGCCACCCTTGAGCCATCAAAACTGGACCACCCTTCTGATTACCTGTGCTATGCCGTTCGTCATATCCGCAGCATGCCAACGCACGAGATTCCCCGCTCAATGCACCTCCATAGAATCCGAGACCTGGGAGATGTCAACAGGGTCGGGGACATCCTTGCCCACCGCCTCAACTGCTTCATGAACGTTTATGTTCTCTCGCACTACATCTTCGGCACTCCGCTATACCTCTTCAGCCTTGCTGACGGGAATCTGGAAGGCTTTTATTGGCACTGGCTAGAAGCTTCATGTGTGTCACCTTGGGAAGGACATTATTACAAAGAATTCCTTGAAACGACTCAAATACCGTTACCTGTGCTCAAAAGACTGGTGGGAACTTTAGGATTGTTCTCAGATGGATATGCCGTCTGGCAGGAACCGCTGTTTGTGCTTGCGATACACTGGGCAAAGGCAGGACGTCCACCAGTGAGTGTGGAAAGTTTGGCTAGTGCGCAGTTATGGAGAGTTGCTGCATTTGCGCCAGATGTTTTGCAGTTAGTTCAAGTGGTGGCAGAGGCTTGTCAGAGCAGGGAAGAGCGCGAAGAGGAAGAGAAGGATGGGATTTCGTTGGAGGATTGTCCGCTGTACAACGGTTCCAGCTAACAGTGGTTGTACTTCCTGGAGCTTCCTGGTTAGGAAACAAATCATCAATTACATAAAATTTCTTCTTCTTAACGTCGACGATGCTTTGCGTTCGAGCTGCTCTTAAACGCGCTCTCAGTCGCGCCTATTGCTCCTCTGCGATCCCTCAGAGAGGCGAAAGAGGTATCTACTAAGCATTTATCCTTGGTCGAACCGCGACATACGCCAAAATCTGAAAAACGGTCACGAACCATGTTACCTCAGACACGTTAGGGGACCACATGAACACCACAACGCTTCCCTGGCCTTTCGACCAGCGTGTCAAACCACTCGTGACCCCATGGGCACCGTCTCACCCAATTTTGTGCAAGGTGGAACGATTATCGCCGCGAGTCAACGAGGAACTAGTCCCCAACGTCCCATCAAGCATTTGGGTATTCCCTGCGCCTGATGAGATGGCGACCACCAACCTCGAACTCTACGACATGTCAATCTTGTGGCGAGAAGAATATGGGGACGTGTTGGAAGGCATTTTAGCATGCATAAAGCGAAGACTGGCTCACCAGGAACAATTGTAAGTCTTCCTTTTACTTGCTAGTGTTCTTGCTGAGCGTTATCGTTAGCAACTCGAGGAGGACGGATATCAATCAGACAATGCCAAATGCTGAATATTTCGAGATCAAGGTCCAGTCAGCGCTGACAGCTAAACGAGATACATTCTTCAATCCCTTCGAAGACCCATCTACACATCATCTCGCATTGACCTCCTCGATTCTGGTGCTGACTGGTTATCCTGGAATAGGTGATGACCTTTGACTTCATTCCTCAATTATACGACTAACTTGAAACCATTAGGAAAATCCCTATTCCTCACGACAATCTTCCTCTTGAGAGTAGCAGCAGGCCTACCGACTGTTTTCATCCATTCGTCGACGCACGCTCTCGTTTTTCGTGACGGCCACATGGGCCAGATGGGACCCCTTAGTTCTGGCTTGGATCTCAGCGAAAATCTTCCCCGCAACGCGTGGATTTTGGTCGACACGTCGGAGGATCTCCCCAGTCTGCCTCCGGTGATCAAACGCAGCCAGCTTTTCATCGTACAGGCTGCTTCTCTATGTGAGGAGCGCTTCAAGAACTCGACCCCGTCAGGGGGTGGCATAATCAAATGTGTGCTCAAGCCCTTTACCGTTCAAGACATCTTAGCCGCGTAAGCTACCAAAGTGTAAGTTGAATATGTATATTACTCACAAATTGTAGTCGCTTTCTACACCCCTACTGTTATGCGACCGAAGCCGCGCTTGTCGAATTCTTCAACAAATTTGGTGGATCGGCATGCTATGCTTATGCTGAGGCTGCGGAACCTAACAGATTCGCTTCTGGAGTCTCAATGGCTGTGAATGCCCTTCACGAATCTCGCATTTATAATGCGTTACACTGGGGTATATATGGATTGAACATTCCAAGTGGTTACTCTGGTGTCTTGCTCTCCGCGTTCCCCACTTCGGATGAGAACCGCTCCCTCTACGAAATCTGCCCACCGACACCATATATAGCAGCATTGTTACTGGACCGTATGGCGACCGTCTCAATGGCGGACGTGAGAATAACAATGTTCAAGAAAACCGTCAGGGCCCTTACCACTGGTTGCCGGGCTGTTGCTGGAAGCATCTTTGACGACCTTTTCCATTCTGTTCTATGCAGAGGTGGCAACTGGGCGCTTTCATCACTGGAGCACCCCAAAAATGTTCAACTCGATTCCGATGCAAAAACCATCTACGTCGAAACATGCCTGTCTCCCTTCCAATTATCCGTCACTGGCGATGGCATTGTACTCACGACCGACGCCAATCCCCCTCCATTCACAGCAATCGATGCCCCAAGAATGCTGCAACCAAGCAACACAAACCCGTTGCTCAACACGTACTATCAACCGACTGCCAGAAAGGATTGGAGCTTCGACAGCCTCTACCTGGTCGAACCCGACCACGCCATTGTGTTCCAGGCCGCGGTAACCCCGGTTCAAAGTCTGAGTGTAGAGGGCATCAAGATCCTCCGGGACATGGGGATAAATCGGGTCACGTACTTTTACGTGACCTCGGAATATTGCACAGAGCCAGTAAAACTCATTCTCCCGAACCCAACCCGAACCACCCCAGCATCCAGGCCGTGTTCGAGAGGATGTTTGTACTGCGTATTGGGATTCCGTGACCTTCCGTATCCAAGTCTGTCTGGGTAAAGCGAGGCTGTTGAATTCAAAAGATATTATCCTGTCAGGTACTACATAGGATCGTGTAAAATGGAGAATTCGTTTGAAGTGGCTAAGCTCAGCCGTTGCCTTTGAGAAAGAAGAGATCTCGTAATTGCATACGTAATCAATTAAATTTCCTTCTTCCCAACGATGACGATGCTTTGCGCTCGAGCTGCTCTTAAACGCGCTCTCAGTCGCGCCTATAGCTCTTCTGCGATCCCTCAGAGAGGCGACAGAGGTATCTACCCAGCAATTATTCTTGATCGCTTCAATAAACCGCGGTAGTTGTTCTCGGAATGTCTGGTGGTATCGATTCCTCAGTCTCTGCGAAACTCTTGGCCGCGCAAGACTTTGACCTGTCCGCTATATTCATGCGGAACTGGGACACCCGCGACGAATATGGGACCTCGGAGAAAGGCTGCGAATGGGAGAAAGACTGGGACGACGTCCAGAAGGTGTGCAGGGCGTACGATATACCGTGCCAAATGGTGTGTTCTTTGCGCTGCCTACCATTGGCTCCGCTGAGCGCATAGGTTGACTTGTCTAAAGAATACTGGACTCGGGTTTTCGAGCCAGCGTTGCGAGATTGGGAAGACGGGGTAACGCCAAATCCTGATGTTTGGTGCAACAGGTATTGATTTATGTGGCTGAGCTTCTGCCAATTAACTCATGCTCTCAGGGAGATCAAATTCGGTGCATTGCTCAACCATTTACCTTCCCATAACAACAGTAAGCCACCCTGGCTCGCAACTGGTGCGTTCCCTGGTTGCAACTTTCCGCGACTTTTTTTTCATAGTTGTGGTAGGACATTATGCGCGAAAAGACTGGCATCAATCACGACCGCGACTCGTTCGTTCGCTCGACCCGAGAAAAGACCAGACATACTACCTCGCCTCTATCCCAGAGAGTGGGCTCAGACAAGCGCTATTCCCACTGGGTGAAATTACCAAGGATAGAGTAAAGGGGATAGCACACGATGGAGTGATGCCGGAGAGTGTCCTCGAACGACCAGAAAGCATGGGTCTTTGCTTTATTGGCGAGAAAAAGAGGACGGACTTCAAAGACTTTATATGTATGTTGCCCCTCTCACGACCGTGCTTTTCTCAACTTTTTAGCATCATATATACGGCCTTCTCCGGGCCCCGTGAAACTCGTTTCGACAAACCAGACGCTGACCGAGCACCAAGGTCTCTGGAGTTTCACCATTGGAGAGAATATTCGTTTGCCGGGACGACCCGAGAAGCTCTATGTTGTCTCCAAGGATATTGAGTCCAATACTATCTTTGTCGGCCCAGCACAGTGCGTATTTTTTCGACCAATAAACCTGTACCTAACGTCTCGGCAGCGAGCCCAACCTCAATGTCCGCAACTTACAAGTGAAAGGCTTCGCGTGGATATGGCGAGACTCGCCTCCAGATCAACTCAATGACGGCGTCAAACTTGTCGTTCAAATACGGCACAAAATGGCGCCAGTGTTGTGTACTGCTCGAAGGTGAGTCTCATTTTCTTTCACCTCCTACTTTTTCGCAATCTATAGCATCGGAGGCAAAGCGTCGGATCTACTTATTGAACTCGATGAGCCTTTGAAAGGCGTCGCCCCAGGCCAGGTCGCTGGTCTTTGGGATGGCGATTGGTGTCTTGGGTGTGGGACTATCTCTGCCACCAACAGTGTAGAGTAATGGTTGGATCGATATCTCAGCAAGTACAATATCACATCTTACTTGAACAACAAGCAATCCTCCAGAGAAACCTCGTCATGATCATCCTTCTCTCCGCGCTCTTCTCTTCTCTTGCAAGCCTGTGCTACAACCTGAACCAACTGCAGAACGTCCGGAGCGAATGCAGCAATTCTCCATAATTTTGCACTGGCCAGACTTTCCATAGTCACCGGCGGGCGTCCCGCAATCGCCCAATTGGCTGCAAGCAAGAATAATGAACGCTGCCAGCTTGCATATCCATCGAAGAACAGCCCTCGAGAGCCAACCAGATTGCTGAGAACGGGCAACGGTATTTGGGTAGTTTCGAGGAATTCGTGGAAATATTTGCCAGGTGTTGCGCAAATAGCTTCGAGCCAGTACCAATATGCGCCTCGTGGATTCCTGCCTGTGACATCAAGAGTGTGTGGAGGGGTGTTAAATATGTAGCGGGAGAGAACATGAATGGTCATGAAGCAGTTGAGGCGGTGGGCAAGGATGTCGCCAATCCGGTTGACATCTTCCAGCTCTCGCAGTCGATGTAGCCGCATTGAGTAGGGAACGTCGTAAGTCGGCACAATCCGGATTTGACGAAGGGCATAACACAAGTGGTCAGAGAGATGGTCCAGTTTTGATGGATCAATGGTGGCTAATATCGATGCTAGCTCGGCGACCTGTCGCTCGGCACACTGGAGGTCTCCCTTGTTGTACTTGAAAAATGGTGGAGCCTCGTCGACAGCCTTTGGCAAGATAAACGGCGCAATGTTGAGCGGTTCTGCTTGTCGTAAGCGGTCGTGAATCGGAGGGTTCTCGTCAAGGACTGTCCACGGCAATCCTGGCCTTGTCCAACATGGGTCATTACACTCTGGCATCCACAGTTTCACATTTCGGGAGTCTAAGGAGGAGAGTGGAAGGACTAGTTCAGCCAGCGAAATGCTGACGCCTTGGCCAAGGTTTATGAGCCCCCCGTCGCATGGGGCCAGCAGAGGAAGAAACAGCGTATGATGAGATGGCAGGCGTTCGACTGTCTTACGAATATACGCCAGATAGCGAATTTTCAGTTGCTCAGGAGTGCGATGGACCCGGATGCATTTTACAGCAGGAGCTGGGACCATGACGAGATCTGAGTCGTAACTACCCAGAACGAACGAGCCACAGCTCCTCTTGTACGCCGGTAGCTCTGAGATTGGCTGGTTTGAATAGATTACGAAGTGGTAGAGTCCATTGCTGCAGATTGAGTATGTGCACGCAGCGTTGACAGCCATAGAAGACGAAAACCCCGCTAAGAGTACGATTGTGTGGAACATCGGTGTTCAACGTTCTGGTCGAGTTCAGTGCATACTTAGGAGGCGATCATTGACATGATGTAATCAAATCATTTCCTCCTTCGCCTCCGGGTTGACTCGCGAAAACTGCTTATAAGTAGCTTCATCGATGGAGTTTCCGTATGCATCCAGCTATCGTAGAACAAGCCTGTCGCTTGTTTCCTGACCTCCATAGACCTGCCAAATGCACTCCATTATCGATTCTCGACTCCAGTGTCGGCAATTTTTCTGCCACGGCCGCAGTGTGGGTATATAACGGCCCAAGCTCACTGGATTCGACTTCTCTCCAGACGGCACTCATCAAGACCCTTGACGTTTATCCGCAATGGGCGGGCCAAATTCGTTGCACCAAATACAATCCTTCCTCTGGGCATACGACTCGCTCCCGTCGTCTCGAGGTCGTTTACGGGACATCCAATGACCCTGGGGTCGAATTTGTAGTGGCAAATACTGCTGAAGAGGTTGATTCAGTATTTCCTTCCGTCGAGGAACGCACATCCACCCCCACAGCTTGGAACGCGACATCCCTTGCTGCTCTAAACCTCCTCCCCCAATCGCCTGCTCTAGCGAATGGAGATGTTATGGGCCTCCCCGCTCTCGTCGTCCAAGTAACAAAATTCGCCTGTGGCGGGATTGCAATTGCTCTCAAATCGTCTCATCCCATGGCCGATGCTCAAACACTGACCACATTCGTCAAAGATTGGGCAGAAATGCACCGTGCTATCACGCAAAACCTCCCGACTCCCGCAATTACTCGGCATTTTGTGCCATCTGACGTCGACAATGCTGCTGCAGGTGACATCGACGCCGAAAGCGCAGACTCAAATGTGCTTCGGAGAGCCCGAGAGCTTCCCATCCATCGTTACGACTGGTGGGCTTCGAGCGATGATTGTCCCGAATTCATGCTCGACTCGACCCGTATTCCTCTGTACATCAAAGCGGGTGTTGATTTTACCTACGGCCCCCCACTTCCCTGGGCGGAATGGGACCATACCCAACCAATCAGCAACTACATCTTGCACTTCAGTGCAGCTGAAATATTTCGCATCTGGCAAGCAGCGAGTGTTCCAGGCCAAGTAATCAGTCGTTTCGACGCTCTCCAAGCCCACGTTTGGTCGGTCTTGATACGCGCCCATCAGCCTAAGCAGGGCGAAAATTTCCACTTGAATCTTTCCCTGGGTGTGCGCGAACGACTTGTTCGCCCACTCCGGGAAGCGCTGGGCTCGCCAATCGTCCTTGCTCGCGCGACTGCGACAGGAGAATCAAGTCTCGCAGAACTCGCCCATCACTTACGCGAAACGGTCACGTGGTTCACGCCCATTCGCGTTTCTGCGCTCTTACACGAGATGGCCTTTGATATCGATGCTCGCAGGATGTGGGCGGGCTTTATCGGGAGCCGCAACATGATCGTAACATCCTGGCTAAGACTGGGCGTATACGAGGTTGATTTCGGCGCCGGTCGGCCGCGGTTTGTGCATTCAGTCATGCCTGCCCTCGAAGGAATCGTGCAGGTCATGGAAGCCAGGCCGCGCATGGAGTCTGGTGGCCCGTGGTACCAAGATGGAGCAAGCGTTTCAATAATGTTGCCTAATTCGGTATGGGAGACGTTTTTGGTTGACCAAGACCTTCGTAAATTTGCCTGAATTGAGTGATATCACGAAGTGTTAGTTAGCTTCACGTTTTACATACCATTCTAGATCTTTGGAAGGAAATTTTCAGTATGCACTGGTCATCGCTGGCTGACACCTGACTGAAAGGACTTGGTAACGGATAGCGGAACTGCCGGTGAGACGGAACTTGAAGGAAGAGAAAAATATGTTCCAATTTGGAGTTGTGAGCTTCGGGAGCTTACAACTCCGCATTGACATTGAAATATTACTAGTATGCCCTTGCTTCACCATGAGAATTTTCCAACCTGATCTCCAACACCCAATTAGCTTTTCAGGGATATGGGTAAGTAATTGTGAAAAGTGCTACAGGTCAACTAAGTAGCGTCACATGATCCAATCTCCTCCTCTAACACTGGCACCATCGGGGTCTGAAGAAGAAGAAGAAGAAGAATATATTCCCACAAACCCCTCTGAGGAGAGTGTGGTCTCGTACCTACACACCAGCGCCCCCACCAGTATGCTACAAGCAAAATACATGCAACCATTGTTGTGTACGGATACCTAGTGAGGATCTCCGCCTCGCAATGTCGCGATATGTATCCGGGAACTTGAAACGTTAGACAACATGGAGTAACCTACCACTCATTGTGTATATATCTTGGGACCGCGTCTACCCTCTGCAGCACGTCATGGACGTACATAGCGAAGCGCTCAATCCCCTGCGCGTGGACGCCAGAAGCACGCGCAAGAACGGGACGTCATCTAGACGACGCCTCGACGGCTCCAGCGTGGAATCTAGCGCATAGATCTCTCGCAAAAAGACCTCCCGCATCAAGCGCAGCCTCTCGTCGTCCATGCATTCCAGCAGGACATGTGCCTCATCCTCAACTCCAGACACACAGAACCTGCACAGACGGCAGTCACGAGGAACAGGCTCCCGAGTTCTCGTCCTATAACGCAGAACTTCGACACTGAGGGAGTGATTTGTGAGCAGAAGGCGGGTGAGTGCTTTCCGGTGAGCTGGTACTGTGACCCGAGTCAAGTAGTGGCGGCAGCGGCGCGTCACTGGTTTCAATACTCCTGAATCCACCAGCTCCAGCCGGTCTCGCAGCAGGAAGCATTTGACGTAGTTGTCAATTTGTGACTGTAGGTCTTCATCCGAGTCCCCAACTCGGATTACCTCCTTCTTGATCTCCGCAATACGGGCTGCATCCAACATGTCCGCAGGGTCAATCCGTATCGGACGAGGGAGTGCGTAGAGGGCGTTGGCCAGATCGCCGGCCCACGATGGCCTACGGTGCATCCACAGGTCGAGACTCTCGCGGAGGGCCAACTTAGCTGTACGGTCATCCTCCATCTCCGCCAGATACTCAGCCCTTCCCAAAGCCAGAAGTAACCTGCGAGTACGAATAGGTAAGACCCCAGTTTCCGTGTATAGCGCCGCTGTCATGCACCGCGGGCCTACACCTAGCAGGCGGCGCAGGAACTTTTTTTGGACATCCTCGAGCTCGCTCACTAGATCATCCACATCGACTGAGATATCTGACAAGACGATATCAGAACTGTGTGAATAACAACAGGACTGGATTGAGTATATACCTGACAAGATGATATCTACATAGAGTCATAAGCATATGTAAGATAGAGGAAAGCATGTAAGTAACTCACCAGAACTGTGTGAATAACAACAGGACTGGAGAGATGACGAGCTAGACTACTCAGTATATATACTCAGGCTAGCTATGCTGACTACACTACGTTGACTACGATTTATAAGTACGATGAGTAAGTAAAGGTAGAGGATGACTGAGCGAGTATTCAGTCCTTACCAAGCGCATTGGTTATTACCAAGCGGTCATGTGCAAGTATGGTAAGCGGATATGACTTCAACTTCAACACACCCCCAGAAGACATATACGTCTTCAACCAGTATACTCAACGATCCCGAGCAAAGGAACAAACTTTGAGAACTTGTCATAACTCAAAGACTTTGTCAGGATGTCAGCAACTTGATCCTCTGACGGAATATGATAGAGCTCGATAACACCGTCTTCGACTTTTTCACGAATGAAATGATAGCGCATGTCGATGTGTTTGGTACGGCGATCATGAGTGGGATTGAGCCAAGAATATAGCACCCTGATTATCCACGCACAGCAGGATGGGTGGAGGCTCGAACCCAAGCTCTGTCAAAAACATCTGCTGCCAACAGAGATGACGGAAGCGTCACTCTCAGACATGTATTCCGCTTCAGTAGAGGAGAGGGCCACAGTGGCCTGGCGGGGGAGACCCAAGTAACTGCACCATTGGCAAGGAGTGTAACATAACCGGTTATAGAGCGTCTATCGTCTTTATTTTCTGCCCAGTCTGCATCGGAGAAACCAATCAAACCACTTTTGGATTTCCCATCATACTTGATATTGTAATCAAGTGTGCCTCGGAGATACCGCATTATATCCCGGGCTAACTTTAAATGATGTTCAGACGGATTTGAGCTATATCTAGCTAGACGTATGACGTAATAGGCGATGTCTGGTCGCGAGCCAAGCATGCCATATAGAAGAGAACCGATCATCTGTTGAAACAGAGTGCGTGTTTCCGGATCACAAGTTTCCTTGTTCTCCGTAATAACAACTCCTGGTGCAAAGGGTGTATCTATGGGGATACTATCCATCATATCAAAGCACTCTAGGACACTGACTAAGTAGCGACGCTGATTGATGAGAATTGAGCCAGACTCTTTATCTTGGACAATATCCAAACCAAGGAAGTCAAGTTCCTGGCCTAAGTCAGTCATTTTAAAACGACTCTTGAGCTCTGACTTCAATGTAGCGATAGATTTCGAGTTATTCCCCATAATAAGCATGTCGTCGACATATAGCAACAAAACAACAGTGATGCTTATATCTCCCTCCTGTCGACGATATACGTAGACACCCCCATCAGAGTATGTCCTGAGGAAACCAAGTTCAAGCAACGCCTCATGAATCTTCTTGTTCCACACACGTGCGGCTTGATGAAGACCATATAATGACTTTTTGAGACGAGCGACTTGATCGCGGGTAAACTGAGGAAAGGACGGTGGTAGTTCAGGCAATTCCATGTAGATCTCCTCGTCTAAGTCTCCATGGAGGAAAGCAGACTTGACGTCCATGCCATGAATTTCCCAACCTTCAAGTGCAGCAATAGCTAAGAGTACGCGAACAGCCTCAAAGCTAACAACAGGAGCGAAGACTTCGTTAAAATCAACGCCCGTGAATTTGTGTGTACCCCTTGACAACTAACCTAGCCTTATAGCGACCATCCCGTTTCTTCGTAAATACCCAACGACATTTGACAGTGGAGCGACCCTTTGGAATATCTTTGCGATTTACAACTACCCAAGTGTTATTGTCCTCGAGTGCATAGAACTCTTTGCCAACCGCAATGATCCACTCAGGGGCCTCATCACTATCCAATGCGTCTTTAAGATGTTCCGGTATTCCATCTGCCCTCATTTTATTAAGATAATCAGACAGATTAAAATCGGGAGGAATGACTTTTCGCATAAGCTCGTCAATTGAATCAACTTTCCCTTCAGCACGACGACGACGTGTCTGTGCGTCCGGGTACTCGGGCCATTCTTTTTCAACAACTGTCCTCTCCCTATTGCTACGACGCAAAGGGCGAGGCAGGAGGAGGAGGTTGAGGAGGTGGCGGAGCATCATTATCAAGGGGAGGAGCACCCCCATCAGGCTGTGCCGGGGTTGCTCATGCTGCGGAACTGTCCAATCCATGTAAACAGGCTCAGGGACATACCCTCCTTGAGATTGTATCCGCTCTTTGGCTGGGAATACTCCTTCATCAAAGACAACATTTGAAGAAGTAACAACCCGTTGTTTAAACGGATCCCAAAAACGATATACACTTCCTTCGGAATTATCGTAACCAATAAAGATGACGAAATTATTGTGAGCGTCACCCTTAGTAGCATATTGGTTCTGATTAACGATGGAAGCTTTACAGCCAAATACGGAAATATTTGATCGATGGTTTATTACCGACCCAAATCTCATAGGGGGTACGCCAACCAATCCTCGCCATTGGTTGACGATTGTATATGTGGGTTGCGCATTCTAATGCCAACTGCCAAAAGCGCTTCGAGAGGCCTGCGTCGAGACGCATTGACTCAGCCTTCTCTTGTAAAGTCCGGTTGATCCGTTCTGCCCGACCATTCTGCTGGGGTTCGTATGCAGCAGAAAGATTGTGCGTAATGCCATGCTCAGCCAAAAAGGCTTCAAATTCCTCGGAGATAAACTCCTGAGCACGGTCAGAACGGAGAGCTTTGATCTTTCTCCCAGTTTCAAGTTCAACTCGCGCCTTAAAACGTTTGAAGGCCTGCAGAGCTTCACTCTTATGGGCTAGGTAGTCTTGGTTGGCGACCGAAGAATGATCATCCAAGAAGGTAATAGCGTAAGCCTTCCCTCCTTTTCCGCTACCATATTTGAGAGATTCAACCGGAAATGGTCCTATGATGTCCATATGTATGAGGTCTAATACATCCTCACTACGAGACGTGGACTCAGGGTAGTGGCGCTTATGCTGCTTCCCGAGCAGGCAACCATCACAAACGGGATGACCTTTGTCTTTAAACAGAGGAGGGACGCCATCAACCTGTGTAGGCAGGCGACGAACAGCCCTCTCAGATGCGTGGCCAAGACGCTTATGCCAAAGATAAGTAGACTCTGGCTTGGATGCAATATGGAGAGAAGGTGGTTTGATGATCTCATCTGGTATAAACCAGTAGAGTCCGTGAATATTACGACCCTCCATAAAAACTTTGCCCGAACGGCCACCAGAAGTAAAATACTTTGCATCCGTAATCTGGCATAAACCGTTCCTAATAACCCAAGTATAGCCAGGCGTGGTCCATGGGCGATGCGGATAAATATCGACCTTTGACATGAGGATTGTATATAACATCCTTAAATTCAAGGACTTCACCATGGTTTCGGACTTTTTTATGGTACCTACGCCAAGACTGGCATGTCTCG